TTTCTGATAACCCTCATCTTCTCATTGTATTATCGAAATATCATTATCACTGTGTGATACTGGTCCACATACTGATCATTATAAGAGACTCAGACAGTTGTTAATTGAAATTCTGTTTACACTTCACTTAATCATAAGATTAAAATCTAATTAATTAATTAGACTTTTAAGTGGCTGTCATTTAAGGTCTCAATTAAACGGTGGTCTAAAAAGTTTTATTAGCTGTATGGCAAACAATCCGTATATTACTGAGAAAATTATAAAACATATTACATGGTTGTACATCAATTGAACATCGAGAAGTAAGTAATGTCATATTATCTAGTCATTAATCTTGAATGAATCGAAAAAGTCTTTATATGGATGGCAATCTTCATAACTCCTCATTACAGAATACTTGACTTATGTTAAATATTTGCAGGGAGCTCAACATTTAAATTTGGTGCTAGTAGCTTTCCATCGAATAAAACGTGTCAGAAATTTATTATAAATTAGTTTACTAAACTAAAAACTTAAAAAATTGCCTGAAAATGAGGGAAAGCATACATGACATCCGTTAGTACCTACATATACTTTCTTAAGTAATCTGACTTGCGATTTGTAAGATATTTGGTCTACTGGATACATCAGCCATATGAATATTCTAGTATTGTTCTATCAAATTCACTAACGAATATGAGTGATGACTATGCATGTTAAATAATTTTCAACTTATTATTCATTAATATCTCATTTACGGAGAAATTCAAATAATTATTTTTCTATAGATGCTTAACTCTAATTTATCCATATGGATAGGTTAATTCTTTCAGTTACCTCATCATTATATCGCAAGAAGTGATAATAAACTTTCATTATTTCATATTTTAAGTTATAGTGTAGTGAACGAGAACACTAATGGGAACAATCATATGTTTCTGAATACGAAATTACAGAAACTCTTATTTAAATCTGAAAAAAAAAACAGTAAATACTTCATTTGCAAAATATCCATCAATTGTCTTAAACATGATTATTCCTTCATTTTCATATCAATCACTCTCTGTTCTTATTCTCATCACTTCGATCTTCTTAACCTTGTGTCGCCAGACATTCCACTTTCGATTGATAATCAATATTACTTAAATCTGTTGACATTAATAGTACACACTACAATTGTAAACATTATAAGTAATAAATATATCATACTAGAAAATATTTTTACACTGATTTACACGACTACATTCTGTATTATTACTCTGATATATTTTATTTGAATTATTAATTATTAATACTTCATATGAAGTGTATCGATTTATTAATAAAAGTTACCCAATATTATCTTACAATCATTTCATGTTCTTTTTATTTTAATGCAAATTTACTTAAGGTCATTTTATGTAAAAGTGATTTCATTTTTAAAATACATGAATCATTTTAAAAGAAGTCATTTTCTCCATCCAATGTGTCCAATGTAATATGTTCTAATGATTAGAAAGAAGAAAACAAAGAACAAGTATCTTACTATGGTATTTTCATAAACCATACACACCATTGATCGATTATAATAGTACTTAAAGTAATCCAGTTTGTAATATCAAAAATACCATCCATATTAACAAACGTCAATAAAATACGTAAAACAGTAAAGATCATTTAACTGGATTTGGTTATTCAATGTATAATAGGTGACATCACAAAAATATTTTATCAAGAAACAAAAAAAGAGAAAAGATTTCACTAGATAAAATTGCTACAATAAAATACCTGGAATAAAATATTTTTCATAAACTAAATATAATGCATTTAAAATAGTGACTACATTGTTAGTTGTAAGAATGTGTGTTGTTTCTTCTTGTTGTTGTTGCTGTTATTGATATCTTGGAATAAATTAAATTAGTTTGCAATGATATATTGGGTCATTTTGAAATATGACATAATATTTCATACATTTATAAATTTTATTATCAGAAGGGGTTTTGTAGAGATTGAAGTAATTTCAATAGGTGAGATCATGAGTCAATTGAAACTAGACCACCGTGGAAAACCTGAAAGCACTAGACTGCTGTTTCGTTCTATTGTGAGATTCCTCAGCAGTGCGCATTCACGATCCCACCTTATGATATTCGAACCCAGGAGTTGATACTAATCAACATATACTCACTAGTGACTGGCTTTAATAGGTATATCCTGGAGTTCTGATGAGAAGTAGTGACCAGTGGAGTTCAACCAGGTCAGTTGTGAGATAGTAACCCACTGATGATAATGGTGGATGCGTCGCTCAATTTCGTAGATTAGTTAAAGTTAAACATTGACACCGTTGGATGCCGGCTCAGTGGTCTATCGTTAAGATCCTGGGTTCGATTCCCACGAGTGGGATCGTGGATGCGCACTGCCGAGGGATCCCACAATAGGACGAAACGGCCGTCCAGTGCTTCCAGGTTTTCCATGGTGGTCTAGCTTCAATTAACTCATGATCTCAATCATTGAAATTTTATTATACTTTTGCTAGGTCTTTATCAATGGGATAACAGAATGCAAGTTTTATACACTTCGGGAATTATCAACATGAAGCATTTACATTCTAGTGCTTATATTCATATTAGCATTTAAACCTAGTACCCATAGCTTCATCATCATTGTTTGAGAATAAAATCATCGTTAAAGTAGTGACATCTGTTTATTAAGAAATCAATTGTTTTATATTTAGCAAAAGTTACCGTTGTATGTAAACCTAGAATTCGTTCTTAAACAATATCTTATTGGATTTAATGGTTGTCAGTTTAGGAAAAGAGGTGAATGGTTCCATTGAAATATTCATGGCATAAAAGTACAAATTCACCTTTTATATTCCGTCTATTCAAACTATGATTAATTAGAAAAGAATAGTTAAGTACTTGAATACACACACTAACAATCTTTTCTACACTGCACTAACGAGTACTCGTTCTACTTGATGCAATATATGATCACTTTGATCTGTAATAGTATAGAAACTCTTCACCATCGTAGGAGTTAACTATCTAGAATCCAAAGTTAGGAGTAAGCTTACATTTGACTATGGTAGATAAATCTCTCACATTTAAAGATAATTCAAAGTTTCTATACTAAATCTATTAGTGCAGTCAACTGAAGTTTGATGGACAGTTAACGCAAGTAAATGCCTCTGTATTAGACGTTTTCAACCCAAACTTCAGGAAAGCAAAACCAGTTGAAAATATGAACAGAAATCTTTCATCTCACTATAATAAACATGATCGTTTGTAAACATATTACACACATAATTTAAGTTCCATTACAATTACAATAAAAGGCTCGATATAATGTAGATAATAAAATCTAATTATTATAATTATTTGTCGCTTACTGAAGATCTGGTCTCTAGTTTAGAGAAAGATTAGGTTCGTTTGATGGAATATCCAATCTAGAGAAACAGATTCATGTAGATATTCTTTTTCTAACTGATAATAAATATCAGGTTGAACTATAAGACTATCTGAAGTTAACATGTATTCACCAGTAAGTAATGTTCCCTAAATATCGATAAACGATCTAAAAGATAGACATTGACTTTTCTTACGTGAGCTTTACATCATTGGTTTTCTATGTTAAATAAGTTTACATAAACGGTTAATCGCCTCAGCGCTAAATCGGTAATGTTTAAATCACACTTGCTTTGCTAAACATCAATAGCTTTTAACTATCCATGTCTTTCAGTGGTATATTGGCCAAGATTTTATTTTTTAGTAGTGTTTTCAAGGATGTCATATATTGTAATCTTCCAAAATCAAATATGTTTACTTTCTAAGCTCGGCTTTGCTCGGTTACCCCATTTTCAGTTGTTGTGGTTAGTTTCTCCGATGCTACTAACAGAAACTGATGATCATCAGCAGAGTAAGGAAGACAGTTAAACATTTTATTGTCTGTTTCTCAAAATAACAATATAAGCTTTATAAAATAATAGTTATATACATATAGTGTCAGAGTTTCGAATGTTTTCACGTGATCAATAACGATTTTCATAAATCCAGTAGTAGTGATTTACTAATTTTAACGAATCATTATTAGGTAACATACTAAAGTCAAACACTTCATCTCAACCATAGTCTTTCTTGTGTATCCAGCCATACCTTATTTATTGACGACAGTCATTAGAGCTTCTTCAAGCCTTATGCCTAACCTTGGATATTATAATGAATTTTTGAATGTAATAATGTTTTACTGGTGACTGTTCTCATTTGACTATTCTATTTCTAATGCAATGAACAGAACACAGAAAATTTTGTTAATAGACTATCTTATTAATAGTAAACTAGATTTTATAAAAAGTCAATGTCCTGGATAGAAATTTGAGATAAATATTCAGAATGAAAAATGTTTAGTTTTCATTTGGCATTTCTCTTTCTTAACTTTTAAAAATAACTTAAAAATGAGTGCCAGTAATCACAAAATATGTTTCTATATATATATAGCATGGCATGCTTTGAATAACAAGCAAAATCTTCAGCACACTTTATTAGTTATGTTAAAGCTAAATTAAAAGAAAGCCCAAAATTAAGATTTAATTTGTTTATAATTATTTAATTTGTAAATTGATATTGATCGATTGCTATAAAACAATCTAACAGACTTTAGTACAAGGTCAGATGTAATTTAAACTATTAGTATAATTGCATGTAGCAAAATACCACTTTCACACTAATATGAATAGTGAATAATATAAATAATGGTTGATCTTTTCTTTGGAGATTGTAGATAAATCTTTCCATCCATACAAATGTACATCGTGTACTGTATTCTTAGGAAATCGGAATCACCAAAGAGAGTGATCATTGATAATATGTAATACATACATTGTTTTCATTCCATTCACCAGATTATTTGGTAAAGTTATATGGGATTTGACTATTGGTTCCATCCTAAACATCAACCATGAATAAAAATATTTTATTTATACATAAACAGCTTCTTAATTTGTTCCTGTAAATGGTAATTTTTTATATATTTTAATTTTTTCGCAGCATTTCCAAACAGAAAATCCGATAGATATATTCTCTGAACGAGAAAGATGCATAGATCGTCGTCCAGCTTGGATAAAAGCAATATGCGCATTTCTTATGATAGCAAGCCATTATGGTATACTTAATGTTGGTGCTCTATTCTACCCTGGACTAGAAGAAGCATTAGAAGTTTCAATTAGTTATTTATTTTGGCTTATGACTGGACAATTTGCAATAACATGTTGTTTAGGTATGTATTATAACATGTTAAGGTAAATATCCAGATTCGTTAAGTTCATTTTTTTCTTATCGGCACCATTTCTTAATATGTACTTAAGATTCATCTAATTATGTTTAATGACAATTGAAGTGATGAAAATTATTAAACGTAGTTATCGAAATGACTGGGAAAAATGATCTTACTTCACTGACCTTAAACCAGTGGACAATGTGTTACCTTATAAAATTTCATTGACAGGATACTCATACGAAAATAAATTGGTTAAAAAATTTCCTTTTGTTTAATGATTTTTTTCAAGTTTTAATTATGTGAAGTGTTTAGTTATTTGATTATACTGAAAAATTTTAATTTGATTTCCAAGTTCAGAAAGAAACTTTTTCCCTTACTGGTAGTTATTTGTATAGCTATTCATCAAAAGGATATGCGACTTTATAGTTCATCTTTCATAGTGACCTCATTCACTATCAGATTATATCTTACACGACAATTTCTTAGACATTTGTTACCTGTTTTTTTTATTAATCTAAATCAGAACTTTAAAACAGTTAACTAATTGAGTTTACATCAAGATCAAGTTACTAATATAATTAATATTCATATAAATAACTACATTATGTCTTCATTTGGCTCTGCAAATTGTACTTTAAAAAAATCGATAAATTTAACTTACTTACTTACTTACTTACGCCTGTTACTCCTCGTGAAGGAGCATAGGCCGCTCAACAGCATTCTCCATCCAACCCTGTCCTGGCAATCCTTTCTAGCTCCGTCCAGTTGTAATTCATCCTTTTCATATCTGCTTCTATAATCCGACGCAATGTGTTCTTTGACCTTCCTCTTTTTCGCTTCCCTTCAGGGTTCCTAGTTAGGGCTTGTCTCGTGATGCAGTTTGATGATTTGCGTAATGTATGTCCTATCCATTTCCATCGTCTTTTCCTAATTTCTTCTTCAGCTGGAAGCTGGTTTGTCCTCTCCCACAAAAGGCTGTTCCTGATGGTATCCGGCCAATGGATGTTGAGTATCTTGCGTAGACAGCTATTTATAAATACTTGTACTTTCCTGATTGTGGTTGTTGCAGTTCTCCAAGTTTCAGCTCCATACAGTAGAACTGTCTTGACGTTCGTATTGAAGATTCTCACTTTGATATTGGTTAAAAGTTGTTTTGAGTTTCATATGTTCTTCAATTGCAGGAATGCGACCTTTGCTTTTCCAATCCTCGTCTTTACGTCTGCATCTGAACCTCCTTGTTCATCGATGATGCTTCTCAGGTATATGAAGGGTTCTACATCCTCCAGAGTTTCGCCATCAAGAGCGATTGGGTTGGTGTTCTCCGTGTTGTATTTGAGTACCTTGGTTTTCCCCTTGTGTATGCTGAGGCCTACTGATACAGAGACTGCTGCCACACTGGCTGTCTTTGTCTGCATCTGTTCGTGTGTATGCGATAGGAGGGCTAGGTCATCTGCGAAGTCCAAATCGTCTAATTGATTCTGAGCTGTCCATTGTATTCCGTGTTTTCCTTCAGATGTCGAGGTCTTTTTTTTTTTTTTTTTTTTTTTTTTTTTTTTTTTTTTTTTTTTTTTTTTTTTTTTTTTTTTTTTTTTTTTTTTTTTTTTTTTTTTTTTTTTTTTTTTTTTTTTTTTTTTTTTTTTTTTTTTCGTCGTATGAGTTCCGGATAATATTGACAATCTTCTCAGGAACTCCGTAGTGTCGAAGAAGTTTCCATAATGTCCTCCTATCTACACTGTCGAATGCCTTTTCATAATCAATGAAGTTGATGTATAGTGATGAGTTCCACTCAACTGATTGTTCGACGATGATCCGTAGTGTTGCAATTTGGTCTGTGCACGACCGATCCTTACGGAATCCAGCTTGTTGATCTCGAAGTTGGGCGTCTACTGCATCCTTCATCCGGTTCAGCAACACTCTGTTGAAGACTTTCCCTGGTATTGACAGTAGTGTAATGCCTCTGTAGTTTTCACATTTGCTCAGATCTCCTTTCTTTGGAATCTTGACGAGGTGTCCTTCTTTCCAGTCCATCGGCACTTGTTCCTCCTCCCAAATCTTTTTGAATAGAAGGTAAGCATGCTTGTGGTTGCTTCGATGTCTGATTTCAGTGCTTCAGCTGGTATGTTGTCGGGTCCTGCTGCTTTCCCGTTCTTGATTTGTCTGACGGCCATTCTAATTTCTTCCGTCGTTGGTGGGTTGACATCTATAGGAAGATCTATGTGTGCTGCTTCGATGTCCGGTGGATTCATTGGAGCCGGCCTATTCAGGAGTTCCTCGAAGTATTCTACCCATCTGTTACGCTGTTGTTGAATTTCGGTGATTGGCTTGCCTTCTTTGTCTTTGACCGGCCTCTCTGGTTTACTGTATTTCCCTGCTAGTTTCTTCGTTGTATCGTGAAGCTGTTTCATATTTCCTTCTCTAGCAGCTTTTTCTGCCGTCGTTGCTAGTTCTTCCACGTATTTCTTCTTGTCGGCTCTAATGCTCCTCTTCACTTGTTTGTTTGCTTCTATGTATTCAGCTTGTGCTTGGACTTTCTCTGCTCGTGTTCGGCTGTTGTTAATTGCTGCCTTCTTGTTCTTCCTTTCTTTGATCTTGTCCAGTGTTTCTATAGAGATCCATTCCTTATGATGGTGTTTCTTTAGGCCCAGAACCTCTTGACACGTTGAAGTTAATGCTTCCTTGATGCCTTTCCAGTTGTCCTCCATAGTAGTTTCTTCTTCTTCAGTAGATCTTGTAAGGCTTGGAACCTGTTGTTGAGAGCTATCTTGAATTCATTGAGTTTGTCAGTATCTCGAAGGAAGGCTGTATTGAACCTTTGTAGTGCTGTTTGTCCACTTGTCCAGTTCTTTTTTAGCTTCAGTTTTAAATTGGCTACAACTAGGTGGTGATCTGAAGCTACGTCAGCACCTCTCCTGGTTCTCACATCTTCCATTGTCCTTCGGAATTTTTTGTTGATGCAAATATGATCTATTTGGTTCTCTGTAGTGTGGTCCGGTGAGATCCATGTAGCCTTGTGTATACGCTTGTGTGGAAATATTGTGCCTCCTATGACCAATTTGTTGAATGCACACAAATTTGCAAATCTTTCTCCATTTTCGTTTCTTTCTCCCAGTCCATGTCGTCCCATAATATCTTCATATCCAGTGTTGTCTATTCCGACTTTGGCATTTAGATCTCCCATCAGAATAGTTAGGTCCTTTCTTGGCATTTCTCAATGATTGACTGCAGCCGCTCGTAGAACTGATCTTTAATGTCGTCGTTGCTATCATTGGTGGGTGCATAACATTGGATAATATTCATTAAGATCCCCTCCTTCTTTGTTTTGAATGATGCTTTGATGATTCTGGATCCGTGAGACTCCCATCCTACAAGTGCATTTCGTGCTACTTTGGACAGCATAAGAGCGACTCCCTGAGTGTGTGGAGCATTGTCCTCCTCGTGACCGGAGTATAGCAGCATCTCTCCCGTAGCTAGCCTTTTCTGTCCAGCTTGGGTCCAGTGGGTTTCGCTGATTCCCAGTACTGCTAAGTTGTATCTCCTCATTTCCATTGCTATTTGACTGGTCTTCCCGGTTTCCCACATTGTTCGAACGTTCCATGTACCTATAAAAATTTTTGCTCTGGTTGTTAGAAGGGGCATCGGCCTCGTGGCTTCCGAAGGAACTCGGCTTTCACCATGAAGCGTCATAATTCTTCTAACTGAAGACCTTCTAACTCCCAGGGCAGAGTTTAAATGGTTTGGATTATTTTTTCTGGTAAGCGTTTTTTTAGCGAGTTAGTTTTCTACGGGATGGGGACGCTAACCCCATGCCCAACCCTCCTCCTTTACCCGGGCTTGGGACCGGCAGTAACCCTATTAGAGCTACAGGCGGAGTTTAAATTTAACTACTAAATTATATTAATTTCAATGGTTGAGATCATGAGTCAATTGAAGCTAGACTCCTATGGAAAACCTGGAGGCGTTGGACGGCCGTTTCGTCCTATATTAGGACACCCCAGACATTAACACCGTTGGATGCCGGCTCAGTGGTCTAGATCCTAGGTTCGAATCTCGCGAGGCGAGGTCGTGGATACGCACTGCTGATGAGTCCCATGCTAAGACGAAACGGTCGTACAGTGCCTCCACGTTTTCCATGGTGGTCCAGCTTTAATTGACTCATGATATCAACCACTGAAATTACTATGATATCCACACAACCTTTCTGACATTAAATTATAGTTGATAGACTTAATAATATAATGCATTTGACAGAATCTATTAGTTACAGATGGAGTAGTTTGATACAATGTTAGTAGGAATTTAGGTAGGAAAAATTGGTTAGTTTAGAAACTAGATATCATATATAGATCAAATTGATAATCTTGTAAATAATTTACAACATATTACTTATATAAGCATTATACCCATTTGCTTCACTTCAGGAGTAATAAAACCTAAAACCTAGATTGTCATTAAATTGTAAAGGTTAAATCGTAGTTTTAATAATCCAGCATTAGTTAAATAGATTAAAATGTTTCTTTGAGTGAAATTATTTATAACATAGTCAATGGAAAATAATAACTTTCAGTTTTGGTAGACAACATAGTGTTCCGATATACGCTCCGTGACATCGAAACAGTCTACACGTTTACCATTAGCATGAGAATAAACCTCGGCTTTTTCTTATTTATAATCTTTAAAATAATTCATACTAACCCAATATCCCGATTATAAAATAGGTACAGTAATAATTAAATCTCCCACTTTATTGACAAATATTAAACTTCTGGTTCATTAAACTACAATCCAATTCATCATTTATTCGCTTCATCATATGGTGTGATTTACTTCACAAGTGTTAACATCACATCGAATTATATCTCAGTGCGTTGTTTTTGATTATTTACTCTCCTATACAATTCTGTTGTTAATTAAAATTGAATTTTTTTCATCAATGTTTAGCACCATTATATAATCGTTTATTGGATGTAGTAGCCACTAAACGTGCTACTATTGTTGCTGTGATGATAACCAGTATTGCTATGATTGCTTCAGTATTCTTAATAGTTATTGGGGATTTTTTATAACGTATACTTTAATTGGAGGTAAATTAATTCTGTTTTAATTAAACACACTTATTAAAGAATTTCTTTACAAATGAAAATATATTTTACTGCTTATGTTTCTACTCATTATTATCATCAGTGACCAAAAATGTAAATACATTCATGAGCTTCATCGACTATTTCAGTTAAAGAGAATTTTATTGTTGCGATAAATGAAATACATCTCTTTTTAGAATCTCGATAATACTCACCATGATATGCGTAAATAAATCATTATAGTACTTCATTGAAATATGAAATAAATATTAACAGTCTTTCAAGACAATCTATAACGTTAATTATACTTTCGAATAATTGATGGATTTTCCCTAACAAGATAGATATTAATTTCAAAGTTCAGATCTAAATTTATCCTAAAATGTATCATATATTATTCATTTAAGCCTAAACTAACAACAAGTGTTTCAATTAATTACTAGTGTAACTAAATCATTGAAGATTATGAATTGAGTGATGTGTGATCAATGTAAATTACAATCATAAGTTACAATGTGTTTACAATTTATAGTTTGCTGGGTGACGTTAGTTGATCGACGCATTACATTATTCCATAATTATAAATTGTATTTTCAGTATGACCCACTGGTATTTTGATGTAGATCACTATAGGTAGCAATAAGAAAGAGTAAAACTCTTCAGCCTTTGTATCTTGTGCTGTTATTAACTACATGGAGGAGTGATGATTTAGTGAATACAGCATTTGATGTTCAACTGTTAATTTTAAGCCTCCAACGTCACTCGTTCTATCACGTTTTTACCAATCGATCAATATGATTAGTTAACACATAAAATGTCAGGCTTATATCTAACTTCATAAAATTGAACCTAACAAGTGAGTTACATTTATTGCTTTGGTTTGAGACATTTATTATGAATTACAACTTTTACTGATCAAATTTATGATGTCACATGCGAACTACTGTTGTTACACCATCCATGATCCTTTAAGTGTGAGCAACTACTCTGAATTCATTTTCTAAAAAGATAACGTAACAAAGTTAATGGTCTATGGTGTTGACAAATTCGAAAACACTTAGGCTTGATTTAAGTCATTAATGAAGTTTAATGATGCTCGAAATACCATGTTCTTCAATAAAGAAATGATTACGTTTTAAAGTATAACTATCTATGGAAACATTTTTGCTCGACATCTAATTAAGGCCAACCTTATTCCTATAATAAACTAGAGATCTATACTCCATGAAGTGTGATAGATCTTCAAGTTAAGTTCATATAGCCATTTTTTCCTGAATTAAGTTCATTCTGTTGTGTTCTCAACATTATTGAAATATACCATTTTGTCTTTCCTTTATCTCCGTTATTTTAGGCGTCGGAATGGGTATCAGTATTGTTCGTATTATAGCTATCATGGCAGGATACTTTGATCGGTATAGAATATTGGCTTTGGCTATTTGTAGTAGCGGTGGCGGTTTCGGGACATTATTCTATACTCTACTATGCAATTATATGATTGAAAATTATACCTGGCGTATGGCCTTAATTTCATTAGCTTTATTCCATCTTAATGTTATTCCTTTAAGTTTATTACACAAACCATTACCTCTTGAACCAATTCAAGAACCCGTTATCTTACTACCTAACGATCCAGTAGCGTCTACAATTTGTTTAAAATCTGTTACAGGCCCACCAAATACATATGAATCATTTATAAGTACAACTGGTGGCAGTATACTAACCAGTATTGATAATACTGTACAAAAAAATACATCAGAGGCAATACATTCACGGATAACCGGACAAAATATAATTGGTGTTGTGGAGTTTGTCAAAATTACTTATGACAAAACTAATTCAAATCAGATTACGGTTAGTCCAATCAATTTTATCAACGACCCAGAACCACATTTATTAGAACGAATTCAGACAATAGTTGATGATTATTTTGACAACGCGGAGAATATTAAGCCAGAAGTAATGCCACATCCCAGTCTCACTCTGTTTCTTCCAATCATATTTTTAGTATGTGATCAGCTGAGCGACTTTAAAACTAATCTACCAGAGTCACAATTCCTAGTTGATAGTCGTTTAAGTGGAATCGATAAATTATTCACTGATCATGTTACTCACACGGGATCAACTGCATTTATCAATTCTCAAGCAAGTGTGGAACAAACACCTAATGTAAATAAATCTACAGCTACAATAACTATGGCTCAGACAAAGACGAAAACATCATTTTTGGTGATTCATTTACTTCGAGCGTAATTCAAGCTCATGATACTAAATACACTGAAAATCTAATAAGTGCAGTTATTAAACGTGCTCTTGTCAAAGTAGAGGAAATTTCAAAAGAGTTAACTTCAAAAAGTCTGTTGGTTCATCCAAAACCACTTACTGTGATTGTAGAGGAAAAATGTATTGATTCGATGAATCCGAATTTCTTATCGGATTATCGTTCTTATGCTTTAAAGAATATCAAGCCGACTGAAGATACAATTTTTGAAGAAAATGAAATCGATTATCAAACTGATGAAGATGGGAACTCTGATAATACGCCATCTACCAAAGAATCTACATACAATACTTCACAAAATAAAATAACTTCATCTGAGCACCATTTTGCGAATTCACACTTAAACTTGGATCATCCAAAACTTTCATATGAGTCTCGAGGATATATTGATCAAATGATACGAAGTGGAACTACCATTTACCAAAGTCAAGCTGTCATGGTACCATTATACAAGTGTAAAGATTTGCCTGGCAGAACTAGACTTTTATCGTTAACTTCAGTGGACGAGCCTAAAGAAGCTGTTGACTTAATGATTTCTAAGATAAAGGATGAGAAAGTTGGAGATTCATTTGGTTATGAGATAAAGAAAAGGAGAATGTCGTTCATTAGCTTGAAAAATATTCTTTTTCTTAGCTTCCTCATCAATCGTTCTTTTAGTTATATGGCTGATTCCATACTATATGGTCATTTCATTAATTTTGGTATAAGCAGTGGATTGAAGGAGGAAAAAGCCAATGGTTTACTTGCTTACGTCGGATTATCAAATATGTTAAGCAGAATAGCAATTGGACTTATTGGACATTTTTCGAGAAAATTAGATATTCGTTTTCTTTCAGCCGCTTGTTTATTTATTATATCAATACACACCATGATTATGCCATTCTATCCAACATATTCATCTTTAATTGCCTACGGCATATCTTATAGTATTTTTGTAGGACCAAGTTTTGCATTTTCACATGCAATGGTTATTGATATTATGGGTGACAAAAAGGTAGATAGAAGTTTATCTATGGTTCTTTTTTCTGAAGCAACTGGTTATTTAATTGGTGGACCACTAGGAGGTTAGTCAGAAAAATTTTCTTAAAAGATTTACGTTTTGTTTGTTTGATTAGCTTAAAGTAAAATTATTCTATTCATTCAAGTGAATAAACAGAATATTGAAAATACTATTAGATCACACAACCATTGAACTTCACCTTTATTATACTACCTTAAGATTATTAAGTAGCATGAAATAGGATAAACAAATTATTTCATAATTATTTGACTGGTTATTATTATTATTCAGTAAAAATTCTGTGTAATTTATGAGATACTACCGAATCTTGTGTGAGAGAAATCCGATTATCTTAAATTCAAAGTCCAAACTACTTAAATTCCCTTGACTTTTGTCTAGATAAAGCTAGTTCATCATCCAAATGACCTTCAATAAAAACCTGTCATTAACTTTTAAGATATATAAACAACGAAAATCCATCTCCTTTCATTTTCTAAAGAATAACCAAGTGTGAAAAGATTAAACTACAGAACCAAGCGGTATGAGATAATTTAATGTATGAAACTGAATAGACCAATTTTGGATAAATATTATTCTTGTTAACAATCGTCACTTGGTAACATTTATAAAACTCGTATTAATGTATGAGTCTTTGAAGGATGGAACTGTGGTTATAAACATTTTCATTAATTTGCCTAACCTGCTAGTCGTTAGTGTAACGAACTATCATGGAGTACTATATTTTAGTTTTACAATAGTTTTTCGTCTTATAAATGCTTATCGACATGTCAAAATTAAAATTTCATTTACTGTTATGAAACTGTGGGTAGATTAGCCGATAAATATCAGACAGTTGAAAAAGAATAACTTCGTGATTCAATACAAAATTGATTAAGTCTCAGTAAGTATATAGGACCAGTAACTTTTCGTTTTACTATATATTGGTCGAAAGCCTAAAATCTATAAAGATACAGAAGATAATCCCTTAGTGATTAATTCGAAAATAGGCATAAGAATTAGCTATATTTCGGTGACCTGTCGCATGACACGAGATTCCTTTCTCGCACAAAATTAATTGTAAGTGGTACTTGACATAAGATGAACCATTTTATCATCATTACAGTTTTCAATAGTAATATTCAAAAGATTAATGAGTTCTTCATACTAAAAAATATTCCATCAACACTTAGCACTGAATTAGTGGACATGAAATTTTCTATTTTGTTAACTATAAAAAGTTTACAGAATTTTATAATAAATCTTATTTGTTATTATAAGAGCTATATTGTTATTTTATCATTATTTTTACGCTTAGGTATAATCAAAGATCAAACTGAAAACTATGCATATACATTTCTATTCTCTGGATTATGTAATATTATTTCAGCTACGATTATAACTGTTCATGCAATAATCAAATTTAATTTATTCAAAAGATTGAAACAATGTTGTTGCAAGCGTAATGATTGACTGTTAATCTAAATAATAAATTAATTTCTTATATAGAGAATGAACAGGTAAAGTAATGACACTACCATTTACACCATTTAGTAGTTTACTAGAAAATAAGTAGTTTCTCTCTTTTATTTTTTTATTGTTCGATGAATTTCATCATTTTTGAATTGTTTGTATATCATTCACTTTCAAATATATAATGAAAAATTTGTCAATCAGTGTTCTTAATACCTTTGAGAATGTTCCATAGGATTAAGATATGTTGTCTAGGTTGAAAAAGGCCTGAATTGTGTTTAGATTTTATGAAAACCTTTGTAAAACTATTATTTTGTAAGGTAAATTTAGAATTGTGAATTAGTGTAATTAATACTGAATGATTATTATTAATTACAGATGATACTTATTCACAACCTTATACTTTTAATATTTTTACCGTCATAAAACATGTTTAGCTTTATTGAGGGATTACTTGATGAAAAATCAGTTCAATGAGAGGCTGCAATCGATCATAGTGAAGTACCCAAGAAAGGATCTCACCATCATGATGGGAGACTAAACGCAAAAGTCGGAATGGATAACATCGAATATGAAGATATCATGGGAAGACATGGACTAAGAGAAAGGGACGAAAATGGAGAGAGATTTAAAAACCCGTGTGCATTCAACAAATTGGCTATAGGCGGAACAATATTCTCACACAAACGCATGCTTAAAGCTGTATGGATCTCACCGAATCACACGGCGTAGAACCAGATCGACCATATTTGTATCAATAAAAAATTCAGAAGCTCGATGGAAGATGTGTGAACTAAGAACGGAGTTGAAATAGCTTCAGATCACCACCATCTGGTTATGGCCAGGAAGAAACTGAAGACAAAGAAGCATTGGAAGACTGAACGAACAGCATTAAAAGGATCACTACATACTTCCTTTGACATACTGAAAAACTCAACCAATTCAAATAACTCTCATTATCAGGTTCCAAGCCTTACAGGATCTACTGAACGAAGAAGCTGCTATAGAGAACAATTGTAAAAAGACCAAAGAAGCACTAACTTCAACGTGTCAGAAGTTCTGACCCGCAACAAGCATCATGATAAGGAATTGATTTCTACCGAAACAATGTACAAGATTCGAGAAAAGAAGAACAGGAAGACAGCATTTAACAACAGCCAAACAAGGGCAAAGAAAGTCAAGACACAAGACGAATACGCAGAAGTAAACAAGCAACTGAAGAAGAGCATTAGGGCCAACAAGCAGAAATACATCGAAGACCTAGCAACGAAAGTGGAAAAAGCTGTATGAGATGGAAACATGAAACAACTATGTGACACAACAAAGTAACTAGCAGGGACCAGAGAGATCAGTCAAGGACAAAGAAGCCAGGCCAATCACTGAGATTCAAAAACAAAGGGACAGATGGGTAGGACGAATTGAGGAACTCTTGGATAGACCAGCTCCATTAAATCCAACGGACATCAAAGTAACACGCAGACCTTCCTATAGATTTCACTCCACCAACGACCGAAGAAATCAGGATGGCCATCAGAAAAATCAAGTGTGGGAAACAACAGGATCTGACAACATACCAGCTGAAGCACTGAAGTCAGACATGAAAGTAACTACAAACACGGTCCACACTCTATTCATGAAGATTTAGGAGGAGGAACAAGTGTCGATGGACTGGAAACAAGGACACCTCATCAAGATACCAAAGAAAGATCTGAGTAAACGTGAGAACTACAAAGGCATCACACTAATATCAGTACCAGGAAACGTTTTCAATGGTGTTGCTGAACCGAATCAAAGACTCAGTGGACGCTCAATTTCAACATCAACACATCGGAATCGGTAAAGATCGGTCGTGCACAAACCAAACTGGGACACTACGGATCATCGTTGAACAATCAACTGAATGGAACTCGTCACTATACATCACGTTCCACCGCTATAAGAAGGCATTCGACAGTGTTGATAGGAGGACTTTATGGAAGCATCTTCGACAATATGGTATACCGGGGGAAATCGTCAACATCATATGGGATTCAAACGATGGACTCACTGCAAAATCATGCATGGAGGGCAGCTGGTAGACGCATTCCAAGTGTGGACCGGAGTCAGACAAGGCTGACAACTCTGACCCTTTCTATTTGTTCTGGTAGTTGACTGGATTACAAGGACCTCGAAATCTGACGGGAAGCACGGAATACAACGGACAGGTCGGACGCAACTAGACTATTTGGGCTTCGCAGATGACCTGACCCTTCTGTCCCATACACATCAACAAATGCAGAACTAGACAACCAGTTTAGCAGCAACCTCTGTATCAGCAGGCCTCGACATTCACAAGGGAAAAACCAACGTCCTCAAATATGACAGGGGGACACCAACTTAGTCACAATTGATGGAGGAGCTCTAGAAGAGTTGGAATGTTTCACTTCTCTGAGTAGCATCATCGATGAACAAGGATCTGATGCAGATGTAATGGTGGGGATTGGCAAAGCAATGACAGCATTCCTACGATTGAAGAACATATGGGATTGAAAACAACTGTCAACCAATATCAAAGTCAGAATTTTCAATACGAAAGTCAAGACAGTCCTACTGTATGGAGCTGAAACGTGGATAACTACTACAACCATCATCAAAATGTACAAGTATTTATGAACAGTTATCTACGTATTATACTCAATATCCGTTGGCCGGATGTGCCATCATCAACAGCCTACTATGGGGTAAAAACCAGGTTCTAGCTGAGGAGGAAATTAGGAAAAGACGTTAGAAATGGATAGGATATTGAGAAAATCACCAAACTGCATCACGAGGCAAGCGCTAACTTGGAATCCTGAAGAGACGGAGAAGAGGAAGGCCGAAGAAGACATGAAAAGAATCGCCCACGACAGGGTTAGACAGAGTGCTAATTGGCGGCCTATGCTCTTCCACGGGGAGTAATAGGCGTAAGCAATTAGGATATACTGCCACTCACGAGGTTTGCACAATGCGAGTACATCACTTGCACAATATATGAATAGCTAATTCAGTCAGTCAGCTACAACGTAGGACCAGGCACATATGTGCATCGGTCCAGGTTGCCATACCGCATCAGCACAACAAGATGAACACCGGATTCATAGCAGTGGTTATGTCAAAGGTGGTAATATATAAGAGAAAGATTGCATATAGAGATATAATACAAGAAGAAAGAATTGGTTCGTAGAAAGAAAGATATGAAGTGATTTTAATCTCTTAGTTTAAGGGAAGACAGAGAGTGTATACACCGACGCCATTGTGATCGATTCTGAGCCATGTCACCAAGAGTCTCCAACCATTGGTTACGAAAGTCACGCGGACCCCAACCAAGTAGTCTGCATCTACCAACATGGCTCAGACTAGAAGTTAGTGACTTCAAGCACTGATGCCACGTTTTGGTTTGGCCGCCCCTAACTTTCTTCCAACCATCCCCTACACCGGTTAGCATTGCACGTCGTGGTAATCGGTGTTCAGGCATACGTAACACGTGGCCCAACCATCTCAGTCGATGAAGATTCATAACCTCATCAACTGATTTACCATCATTCCCTAATACCCTGCGTCTAACCTCACTATTACTTACCCGGTGATCCCAGCAGATGCCAGCAATATTTCTAAGGCATCTGTGGTCAAATACTAGTAGCTTACGGGTGTCTTCTACTCTTAAGGGCCATGTTTCGCTGCCGTAAATTAAAACAGAACGGACTGCCGCGCAGTATACTCGTCCTTTTATTGATAGACGGATATCTCGCCTCCGCCAAAGGTGACGTAAGTTGGCAAAAGCCAAACGAGCTTTACGAATCCGTGCTGAGATTTCGTCAGACACCAACCCATTAGGGCTGATCAGACTTCCAAGATAAGTGAAGTTGTCAACGCGTTCGACTACTTCACTCCCTATCCTTAGTTCAGGTGTTGACGCAGACCAGTCCTGAAGCAACAACTTGCATTTAGAGGGAGAGAAGCGCATCCCAAACATTCTGGCATTGTTGCTTAGTGCTACCAGAAGACTCTGCATTTTGTCAGCGTCTTCACCAAACAGGACTATGTCATCTGCGTATTCTAAGTCGATAAGTGGACCTCCTGGAAGGAGATCAATACCCGAGAATTCAGTCGACGAGAGTGTTATTTCCATCAATAGGTCTATGATGAAGTTAAACAAAAATGGAGAAAGTGGGCAGCCTTGACGGACACCACTTGAGGTTGCAAAAGTAGATGACAGTTCGCCATAAGCCCTGACTCGACTAGTAGTGTTCGAGTAAAGAGCCTTCACAAGGTTTATGTACTTCTGAGGTACGCCTTTCAATGACAGACACTGCCACAGAGTCTCGCGGTCTACAGAGTCAAATGCTGCTTTTAAGTCAAGAAAGACCACCATCGTCGGACGCCGATAGGTATGCCTGTGTTCTAGAACCTGACGAATGGTGAATATGTGGTCGATGCAGCCACGACCAGGTCTAAAGCCAGCTTGGTTCTCTCGTGTTTGTAGTTCACGAGTCTTAGTTAGGCAGTATTTTAGATATTATATTAGTTAAACTAATCCCTCTGTGGTTGTCACAGGATGATTTTGACCCTTTCTTATATATTGGGACGATAAGTGATTGCGACCAGTCAGATGGGATAACGTCTAACTCCCAGATTTAGCTAAAATATTAGTCAACCTAATCGCTAAAATTGGACCACCATCCTTAAAGACTTCTGGAGCCAGTCCATCTGGACCAGCTGCCCTTCCTCGTTTCAGATTAACTATAGCCTTTTGAACTTCAGCAAGAGTTGGGGGACCTACTTCAATGTTCCATTCACTGTCTGGGAATGGAGGGTAGTTGTAGAGTAGCTGAAGGCCAGCTGAACTGTTCTCTAAAATGTTCCGCCCATCGTTCTAAACGTCTGGACTGGGAGCAGATGAGAGTATCGCTTTTTCCGAAATAATCTCACTTACACTTGACTTATTAATTCCAGTTTCTTTTATTAGTCTGTAAAGCTGTCTTGTGTTCCCTATAGTCGCCGCCTTTTCCATCTCTTTTGCTTTCGTTACCCACCACTGCTCACGGTCGTTCCTTAGACTTTTTCTTAACCTAGATCTGATTTGTTGTCGCTCTTCATCATGTTCGGAACCTGATGGGACGAGTTTGCGAGAATCCATCAGTGTGACACCTTGAAGAAATCCACTGGTTCTTTGTAACTCTGTGGTTTAAGTCACTAATAGATGTCACTGCTGTTTCCACAGCTGCTTGTATGTCTTTCCAAGCAACATCTGGGTCAGCCTCGTCTTCACAACTACCTAAGTGTGACCTCAGTTGTTCCTGGAACCTACTTTTGGTTTTCTCGTTACTCAACTCAGTTCTAATGGGTCTTTTTAATGTGGCTTTTTTGCGTCCATTGAGGCGCAAGCAGATGCGTGCCCGTATTAGGGCATGGTCGGAGTCCAAGCAGGTACTCCAGAATGAGCGACAATCTTCTACCGACCCTCTCCAACGATGACTGATGGCAATATGGTCTATTTGAGTCCATCGTTGGTTTGGTGTAGGGGGTCGCCATGTTAGACGATGTCTCTCCTTATGCTTAAAATTTGTGTTTGCTAAAAATAAACGATTGTCTGAGCATAGCTGCAGCAGACGATCACCATTATCTGTTCGCTGTGTCGGAATACTAAAATATCCACCTAAATGCCTTTCTGTTTGGTTTAAACTGCCTATCTGAGCATTAAAATCACCTGCTACGAGTACTATGTCTGAGCGTTTAGCTTTCTGAAGAAGTTCGGACAGCTTTCTGTAAAATTCATCTTTCACTTCATCTGAGCTGCAGTCAGTGGGAGCGTAGGCAGAAACGACAAAAAGGCAACGACGTGTGTCCCTATCCTTCCGAGTTCTTACGTAGCCGTTCAGCCGAACAGCACATAGACGACTGTTGACGGGGATCCACTCTAGCAGTGCTTGTTCGGCCCTCATGCTTAGTGCTATGCCTACACCTGCCAGTCCACGAGAACTTGCCATCGGGTCACCAGACACACGAAGGGTGTATCTCGTTGGCTCTCCGTCTTGCCGAGGTGAGGTCAAGTGAATGACCACACTGGAATCCTGTATGCGTGTTTCGGAGACACAGCATACATCAATGGAAAGAGACTCTAGGGTTTTAGCCAAGGAAGCCTGCTGACCGATTTGACATAGGGTGCGTACGTTGAAGGCTCCAATGTGTAGTTTGGAGCGAGGTTTCAGTAGACCTGGGACAGTGTTTTGCGCACTAGAATCGTTGGCTACGGTGACACTTGAGGTGGAAGCCGAGAGAGGAAATATAGAGTTGAAAGTCGATGTAGGAGGAATAATAGGAATTGAAGAGGAGGTTGATTATGAATACAGTGGTCTTGAGTGCTGTTAGAGGTATGAGGGCGGTTATCACTTCCCGGTTGCCCACACCGTGGAAGGGTTCTTCTGGAGGTACCTGAAAAGGAAATTGGATTAGAGGTGGTCTCAGTGACCTGAGAGCGTGACCGCAGTGCCCAAGGGACAACTGCTTGAGGCCGGTCGCGCACGGCCTTTTCGTGAGAGGTTTGTGACGTGTTAGCTCCGTTCTTCAAAGGGCCTTACCGCCGGAGACGGAAATCCGTGAGGTAAGGTGAGGTGTGCATTTTTAGGGTCGACCTTTTCTAACCCCACCCCTCCTTGTGGGAAGGCAGCATCGCTGTCATGCTGGTTGTCTGAAGGAACCACCTCTGTACAGTCAGCAGTGTGACTTCGCCTTCGGACCTTGGGTTTGTTGCTTTTAGTCTTACCGCTCTTCAACCGACCTGTCTGACATGGTAGGACCTTGAGGAACGGTTGTTCCAGCCAGTATAGCTCGGTTGCTTCATCACGATAGGCAAGCCCGACCACCACGTCAAGGTAGCAACAACGGTCGGGATGAATAGCTAATTAAACTTCTCGAAGCTTGAACTCATGCACTGAGACACAGATTAACACCATGTAGAAGAGATTATTTGTATCAGTATGAAATGAATTAAGAACATGATTACTTGGACTAATTACAAGCGTCATTTTCATTACTATAAATTTCAAAACTCCTATCATTAGTAAATCAAATGTGATAACGCCTGTGAAAAGCTTTTACACAGGTTTCTTAATTTTTCTGAGAAACATTTCAGACGTCTTGTATGAAATATAGTTTGCGATATTTCTCTGTTGGGCCATATTTTGCTCACTTGGAATCTCGATCACCACTTTTTGTGCTACTAACCTGTTTTCATCCAAAACGCATTGAGAAATAAACGTGTGGTCAAATTGGGCACAAATCACACTTTGGATCACTTTCAACTTGATTAAATTCTCGAAATTTATAAAATTAACCGTTCTAAGGAACAGAGTACATAAAGATAGTGGAAAAACCTTTTTTACTTTAGAATTAACTAATTTGGATAGACACATCGTTTGAAGCCGTCTTCGAGCAGTGTACCAAGATTCTTAGTTCATGAAATTGTCAGAGTAGTTAAGTCATAAAAACTACAAATATAAATCGATAATGTTAGTAAGGGATGAGAAAGAAAAGTAGAGAGCAAAAGTTCCAGTAGTTATTACTTGACAGCTTATTTGTATTTTCAAAGAATTATCAGTGATCTGATTGAATTGTAGTATGTAACAGTTTTAATTCTAAGCTTTCATCTCATCAGTCTTATACGAGAGTAATTGCGTTACTTAGTACTATAAGTTTTATCACAGTAAGAAATTCTAAACTATCCAACATTGTAACAAATTCCTTGTTGACAAATATCCAGATTTTAATTATTAAAAGTGTTCATGTTTTTAGTAGTCAACATGAGCTATCATTAATTACGAAAGTTCTCTACGTAGCTTAGCTGGTACAACTTAATTCTTTCTTCCATCACACCTTAAATGAATGATTTTCAACATAATTCCATCTTGTTTCTTTAAAGAATAAACTAAGGTGCAGATATCCCAATAAATGTTCTGTTCCCCTACAAGTTTTCGAATTAACAAAATTTTAAAACAGGAAGGTTTGCTGCAGTATACGCGCAGAAGAAAAATAAGCACCCTAAATCTTTAAATAGGTCACCACCGATAAAATCGCTCTAAAACAGTAAATAATAGTTTCTAGAGATATTATGTAGTTTTATATAAAATACGTATTAGTTATGAATGTAATCAAAAACTACGGGTTATTGCGCACTGTTGTTATACGTACCACCCGTATGATTACGAGTTATGAATTAGAATAATGAATATGTTTAAAATCATTCGCTTTGACTACTGTGAATTGTTTCAGAAATCAGGGCTTTTCATAGAGTATAGAGTACAACAAAGATGAAGGATTTATGTTTAATATAGTAGGATATACAACTGCAATTAGGTATGCTAGCAAATTTTATCTTGAAATTTTCGAAGCACTCATAATCCGCTTATATAACCTACTTGTATTGAGGATGATACGAGCTTTTGTCTCCAGTTAATTTATAGCCAAATTCAATTTTATTAATTTAAACCATAGAACACAAGAAATAACATAAACTTAAATGAAACGATGTGAGCTATTTAGTTAATTAATGAGAAATAATTTTTAACATCAAGTGTAACATTGACTTTCTTTGTAAAATCATGACAACTGAAGTTTAAATTATAAAGTTTACTCTCATCTCTTCTAAACTAAGGAGGGAGGAGGTAATTTGAACAGCTTGAGTTTAATGTATTTCCTTAAAAAAAAATCTAAGAAAGACGTAAAATATCCATCTAATACTCTTTAATATTCAATTAATTTTCTAAAAATCAACTATAAAATTATTTATTATCTTATTTCTATGGTGATAAATAGTTAACTTTGAAAGACTAAAAGATCAAAACTCAATTCATTTGCCGATGAACTCTGATTATTTGAAAAATAATTTTTTTGTAAAAAAAAAAATTGTAAAAAAGGAAAACTTATAAAAATCAGTGTAATCAACGTAATTTTTAGTTACTTTAATATAATATAATAAATGAACTGAATAAAACTTAGAATAAACGACTACATTTTTGTTGTTGTTGTTGAATTTATACAACGAATATACAAAGTAAACAAAAAAAAGAATTTACGATATATATATACATACATATAGATGGAAATCTTAATAGGATTAGTAAATAAAAAAGTATACAAAAATACGAAACAAGAACACAATTAAATGCTTACACATACATATAAATTATTGTGAAATTATAGACACATTAGAAATATATTATAGAATTATTAAGTGTTATCATCGATGACAATGTTCTTCTTCTTGTTATTATTATTATTTACAGAATGAGTTGTTGATTAATAAAGGATGGAAAAAGAAAAATTATGACAACTGAATAAATAATGTTATGATAAGACATTACAATATATTTGAGCATTATTAAATTTATTTGGATTAGCTTTAATGATTACTTTTTTTCCTTGTTTGATCGTTTGTTAGCTGTTGTAATTACTCTGTTAACTTTGTGTACATTTTTTGAATTATTTGAAAAAGGATGCTGACCTTTGGAATTTCTAAAAGGTTGACTACGACCACCTCGAGGTAAATATTTCTATTAAAAGGTGAAATAATATCATCAACAAGTTACTTATATGACTATAAAATATACATGCGCTAGAGAAAAATCGACGAACGGTTAGTCAAATAAATTTATGAGTAAATTAGTCAAATGTATTGTGGATTTGATTTTGGCATCCGCTATCATATGAAGTCTTGCAATAAACAAATATTAATCATTTCACTAGATTAAGTAAAGCATAAAATGTTTTCATATATGTTCCGACTAGGGAGAAGGGTCATGGATAACTGGGTGTTTCTCTGGTTACGCTACGTTAAATATAACATATCAGAAAATAAAACTCAAGTATATGATCCAGTATATTTCTCAATGCCATAATTAATACGTGTAGATTAATAAGCACGTCCAGGAATAAAAACAAGACAGTAGGTACTGGGGATATATTCAATGTGATGAAATAATGTGAAGCTATTTGAAAGTGAAACTCTGAACAAGTATTCAAAAATATCTCCAAACGTTGCTTCTTAACAGTGAGTGGGTCTAACCCCTAACCCCTTCAGAAATGCTAGTAGTTTTCAAACAAGATGATCATTAACGAGCCTCAAGAATGAGCATCGGAAAAGAATAAAAATAACGTAATCTATAAATTTTTTGGGAATAACTAGCTACAAAATGATGGCCTCTGGATCTAAAAAGTCTTACTTTATAATCCAGTTCTAACTGGTAAAATCGTGGACGCTTCAAACCTGTAACTAGGGACCGCAAAGGTATGTTCTTGACAAATATTTCTCCTGTCAAAATATCCACTTGAAGTTCATCAGCTTCCATTTCACTTCGAGACTGCAAAGTTAAAAACTGGTCAGGAATTTCAAGCTGTTTAGAGTATTTTTTCGCACCAGATGGTCTGCGACGATTATTTGACATTTTAAGCATTTCACTTTGATTAGAATCTACGGCGACTGGAAGCTCATTTAAGTATGGATGTTTCTTAATTTGCTCAGAGTCTTCATTTAGTTCGTTATGTTTATGTGACAGAGTACCTTGTTCGCTACTTTTGAAATTATCATAAGAAAGAGAAAACCCATCTTTCATTCTTTGTTTTTCTAATTCAGGGTTTTCAATTTCATCTGGTGTCAAACGTTGGGTATCTTGGTAAGAATATTCGGATGAGGTGGAACTTATATTTATAATAGATGAATCTGAATCAGTATGGCTGTATTCCGGAATATCATTTAAACGTTCCAATGTAACTGATATATCACGTAGTGGGAAAGAGGAGTTTACTGGTAGAAGAGTAGACTCTTTACTAGTAAAATATCCTTTGGTTTCTTGCTTTGAAATTGTCATGTAGGATGAAAAATTGATTGACTTTCCACGATCAACTAATGCCGCGACCTACAAAAAGTATATAGGAAAGTTTTCTTATAAATACACTTTATAGAAAATCTACAATACAAAAAAGAGATAAGGAAATCATTTTATACATTTCACAAAACCCTATAATTAGTGGCTTGTATTTCTTGCTGATGCATAAAGATATCGTGAAAAGAGACACACACCAATTAAGCATATCATTTTAGACTGTAGAGATTTAGCAATCAAGTTCAAACGCTAATATACTCTGACTGAAATTTCCTTAAATTGATTAGAATGATTTTTTGAACACTTATCCGACGTCGTATACATTGTCAAATATTTAACAAAATAATATAAAAGAGAATCGCCTATAAATATTACATTGAAACATAACTGAATCTATAAAATGAGTTCTGATATCTACTTTTAAGATTTTTAGCAGGGCAATAATAGCAATAATGAGTCTAACAATTATGGAATCATTTGCTAAAAATAATAAACAACATTTCATAACTAATCCACACAATTAGCATAATTAGACTTTATATAATGATCACGGTCAAAAATATTCATGTATGAAAAACGATATGATTGAAAAAAAAATTAAATGTAGATAATTAATAAGTTGGTTGATTTGAAGTTTTTAGCATTCAAAATCTAATACGTTCGTGTACTGTGCTAATGATTTCATTATTCCGACTTCAATATCTCAAACAAAACTGCTTATATTCACTTCTTTTTCCTAGCTCACTTACTAGAGTGAAAATACCAGGCTTTTTCATGTTGACCCAGTGTACTCTCAACACGAAATACAACAGGTTTTCCGATTATATATCAATAAAAAATGATTAGAATATTTCAAACTGAGTATTTATCCCAGTAACATGGATCATGGTAAAAATGTATTGAAATCCCCTGATTAGTGTTACCACTGAATAATAATTTACTGTAACAGGATTTCAATCTAATCGATATTGGTTTAATTCTCATAATTCGTAATTGCAATTCTCCAATAAAAATCTCAACAAGTACAACATTGTGGTCTGCAATAATTGAACTTGAATCCCGCCAACATTTGACAAATATATTATTTTTATCATTGAATACCCGACCGTAGCTCCCACCTTGAAGTGATGGTTGAGCTAACCTATCGTGATGACCTAACTGAGCTATATTGAATGGAACACTTGTTCATTTAGGTCCTACCATATCAGGTGAGCTAATTTGGTTTTGGTCCCAAGAGTTAAGGGTTTGAAAGCACGGAGTTTATACATGTAAAACCACCCACATAAAGACCGTGTGTGACTGGCTTCAAGCAGCCGTCTCTTTGGGCACTCCAATTAAGCTCCTAGGCTGTTAATATTTAATCCTTCTTATGATGATCGCTACCACATTGTTTCAAACCGACTACTATTTATCATGTTAACTTTATCTCTTCGCGCCAACGTAGTGTAGAAACTTGGGCTAACGTACACTTATATCAAGCTCTAACATAGATTATGACGGTCCGACCATCAATCAATACTTTGTACTGAAGTGGAATATCACAGTTTATATTCTATTTTTGGCAGCAGACTGCAATAAACACAACGTAGGTAACAAGTTGTCGACACAAATACCACTCAAGAAAATAGAAAAAAAGGGAAAAGACATACATTATGGCGATTACTTGTAATACGATTCTTTCGATGTCTATTTTTTTGTTGACTCGATGAATCGAATAAACTTGTTTCTGAACCCTCCGGAGAATGTAGCCTATAAGAAAAGAACATTATAAAACAAAACTGAGACATGAAAACTAGAGGTTAATCTTTATCATTTTCTAACTATCGGTGAAGCACACAAATTCTTTATACAAACAATAGTTATTAAAGCTGAGGAATACTTGAACACAATCCACATAACTATTATTCAGTATGTTACGTTACTTAGCTTGTTATAGGTTACTATATACATGGAATTGTATATATCTAATAATCAAAAAAAAATGTTGTCTACCGTCCTGGAATTTTCTCAGCCCTAGAGTGTTCCTTTTCTTCTTTGTTATACTATTTTTATCTATTAATAACAAGTGGTATAACCCATGTATACTGGCTTTTATCAGATAGTCAGTCAACTATTATTTAGGTCCTTATGAATCAGTAAAAAGGAGATTAACTGGATGATAAATATGTAACTTTTCGGACTGATAGCTTATACTCTCTTAAGGAGTTGATCTTAAACATCTACATTACTACACAATACACTCTTTGTTGAGAAAAATCTCAGTAAATATTGTAAATATTTAGCAAAGTATGATAAGAATACCGAAATAGTCTATGTCTATAAAAAATGATTAGAATAGCAAGCATTTGAATACTGTTAATTGTTTATTGAACTAATTATAAATTGTTTGTATAAGTTTTTTAGTTGATTCCTTACATGTTAAGTACATTAAAAAATTTTTGCTGTTAAAAAGTAAATGCACTAACATTAATCATTTATACACCTCGAATTCAGGTTTGTGACTTAAAGGGATCTTCATTAGATGTACAACTAAATATATACCGAGCAGGTATAACAATCTACAACTTTAACTGCGCACGTTTAGATTTAACGGGCATACAATAGATTAAAGATTATAAATATGCCACGTTCTGTAAATTATAACGTCATGTAAACAGTTAACAAAAAAATCTAAAGTAAAATATAAATAAATATGTTAAATAAGAAAATATACATATGAATTCATAAACATTCTCAATGAAATATATCAAACACACAATCAATAGCTAACCTTTTCCGTGATGATCCCATATGAGTAAATCCTAAAAATACTGAGTCTTTTTCATCACTGGTATCATCTAATGTACTACCAGACGCATAGGATGAACCCGAAGATTCATTTAGAAGTGTGCTTCCTTTATTATTCACTGATAACTCAACGCTCTGAAGTGGCAAATCACAAAACGATTATTTGAATAAACAACAGGCAATTGGATTAGGTCTGAACCAGCCGGCATCTTGAATGGAAAACTTTGTTTTCGACGACTTGACGACTTTGATAGAGTATTGTGTGAAGAATTTTTACAAGTAGATTTATTTATACTAGAAGTAAGAAATCAATTAAACTTATAGAAATTAAGGCCTGACTAACAATTACATATAAACTAGATAAAATTCACCAAATAAGTTATTTCATAAATTAGGTACTAAGTTTTGTCAATATATTAAATTTGCTTCTTCGTGAAAAATAATTGATTCTTACATATTCGAAGTATTTGGCATCAACAATCACTCCAGTGCAAAAGACGCATAAAATTTGACAAACTTATTAAGCTGTTTCGGAGATCTCCGTACGCTTAATTCTGAATGATTAGTTACTAACTGCGAACATTCAATTTATCTATTAATTTCTGCCATCCGATATATATGTCTATAGTATTCCAATTGTGTATTTTCAATGCCTTATTTTTGCATATATTGCACCTTCATAGTAATACTGAGTTGTGGCCCAGTTATTCACAGGTCTAGTCATATGAATCTATAAAAGCAAGTACAGCTGTTTGGATTTCGCCTTCTCAATCGATCATCGGAGAAGAATTTTTGCATGGCTAACCATCGTTTCTTCAGTGAGTTATTCAGTTCAGACAGTAGGGTGGTTTATAGCATCTTCATCCATATCTAAGTTTGTACGCCTTTAACTTCATTACGCACTTTAATTAGCTTATTCAATAGACGATATCGTTTCGATCAGTAATAAAATGCTTGTATCTCTACACAAATAGCCCGATGTTTCTCTGGTCACATATACTTCACGTGTTACAATCTACACCTAGATTCCTCTTACTAGTTTAAACAAGCTTATTTACACTCGTCTGTCCTGTTAGATATTGTATACACTAAGCCCACTACACAGCAGAATAATCAAATTAAAGAAAACTAAAAAAGCATTTCACTATACATATAAATATACTACACTGATTCTGTATTCACAATTAAAATAAATGTCATTAAAAATCATTCATTATACGAAAGTAATTCTATGTATTCAAACGATTTAACCTAAGAATAGTCCCTGACATATCATAAGTAGTATTATACTTTTGCGAAAAATGTTATTCGCACGAGAGGAAACGAACTATTATATAGCATTAAAACATTCTACTTTTCATTTACGTAATATATATAATTAATAAGAAATCATTCTTCTTTTTCCGAAAATAGACCAATATCAACTTACCAAACTGTAACCGGTATATTTGGAAACGATTCGGATGGAAGTAGATTACAAGACCTATAGTTATTATTATCTTGAGTTGTAAAAGTCGAAGGAGTATCTAGATCAAATTTCACAGAAAAATAAAACACTGAGTTTAATATAGTCACATTCCATAGCTATGAAACACATTTTTATTCACTTATGTGGACATAGAACATAACAGTTTTTTCGGAAATCAAATAACTTTACAGAGAATTTTATGTAAGATAGCGCAGAATAGGTAGCCTAAGTTGCAAACTGGAAGAAAACCTAAACCTAATACATTTTGGACAAAAACAAGGGTAAGAACATATTTCTGTACTACTACTGCTACTACTACTACTACTACTACTACTACTACTACTACTACTACTAATAATAATAATAATAATAATAATAATAATAATAATAATAATAATAAGTATTATCATTATTATCGATCGTAGACATCAAAACATGTACAGCGATAATATTAATCCCGTGAAATCTGAGGTCTTTCAAATCATCGTTATCCACACAGATCAGTTATCCTCCTGACGACCGATAAAAAAGAAACATATTCATAATTATGCACTTAAACAAACTAAGTGTGAAAAGTAACTTATATCATAGATTCATTTACTTATTCCTTTTCTTTTATCAAACATATTGAATTAGTATAACAAAACCTTATGGGTGCTGATGAATAACAAGAAACGAAAATACAATGCTGAAAACAAATTAGACCCAGGAGTAAACTTTTCGGCAATATACAAACTTTATTGTTGTTCATGGAAGACTGATTTGTATATCAAAGATTTCAGATTATACAAATAGGTGCTTAATAGAGGTATCAGTTTGACAAAATAGAGAATACATAACGGCCTATAAAAAGTGTAGCATTAACTTGTACGCTAGAGTAGGATCTACGAAAGCGAATTTATATTACTACTAGAAAGTCAATCATTCACTTAGATATTCAATGAAAATTAATAAATATGAGAGAGGAATAACAAAATTATTTTAATACATGAATAAAGTAGCTGATATTACCTTCATCTATTTTCTTCACTGTTACGAAATTGTGGGTTCTAAAAGAACAAGCTACTAATTTGTAAAACTTTAATATCGATTGAACTTAGAATTTAACATGATTTGAAAACAACTATTATCACAGCTCAAACAATTTGAAAGTATCTGAAACACATGAAATTCATCACTGAAGGCATACCATCAGAAATATTCACGTCACTAGAGGAAGTCATAAATTAATTAGGGTGTAAATAACAAATATTGAACTACAGTGAATAAACTGAGATAAATGTGACTCAGATAGAGCCTTTCGATGTTCTCAATTTCATTTCAATAACAATCATTATGAAAGTGATTGCTAGACTGTAGTTGATTTGTTGTGAATAAAACCCTAACTCCCATGAGATCGTGGAAAAAATAGTTGGAGTTATGGTAATGTTAGATGGTTCGACTTCCAACCAATTAACTTCAGAAAGCTCAGGTAACACAATGACTGAGATAAACCAACTGAATCATTTACAACCACTAGATTACCACAGAAGACAATAAAGTTATTCTCTTAGCTGACAATGTATTTAACATCAATTTCTCCCACAATTCTTAGGAAAACATTTTTTCTACTCTATATGGTTTAGATGTTATTCTGGTATAAAAACATTGTCCTTAATTCTGTCAAGTTCAATGCAAATTCAGAAATTGAAGAGATGTAAAGAGAGGAGAATGTAACCTGCTTGTAATACAATTCCGATAAAAAAAACAGTGTGATAAACCGTTTATTAATTTAGTGAAGCATTCAAATTAAAATGAATCTGCCAAAAATCAGTGGAACGAAATTGGATATATTAGATTAGGCATGGGACCTAATTTACTATGATCACTAACACAACAAAAATATGATCATCATTGATAATAATAGAGTAACTATATTATTCTCTCGAATCAATCAACAAACAGACACTATCTTCAGGGTTTTAGAGCGAAATTTCGAAGTTAATGCTAATTGGTTCCTATCTCGCAAATAGCCTGATGGATCTCATCCTTGTAAAGAGCTTAAAGTACTTATGATTAGTGAAAGATTTTTTTGTGTAGTCATGCAGTGAAAATGAAAAGATGTAAAAGATTACACAAAACACACCTGATAGCGATTCTGTTCGGTACATGAATTAACAAGAACTTATTTCTCATTCTTTTGTTCAAACTAAACTGTCAACCAACAAATATAATTACTGATGTACTGAATAACAGGTTAAAAGTAAAATAGATTCCTTGGAAAATTCGAGAATACCATTTGCATGACTTTTATTTATAGTGGCCCAACACGAATATCGCGGTAACTATGTGGAATCGTTTGTAAAAATGTTTATGACCCATTAAAGGACCAGAACATTTACTGGTCTTTATAGAGAAAACAATCTACTTCAATATAATAAAAAAACTGCAAACACTATAAAACAAATAAGCTACGTAACAACATTATACATATCTAAATTTCAATACTTGTTTTGAAAGATGAATTCATGATTTTGAAAGAGTGCACTTTACTGATCAATAAGAATTAATTTTGATTAATTTTAATTAACTCATTTAACAGGTACTTATGTATGAGCCGCGCCCTAAATGTGAGGGCTAATTATACTACTAGATTGCTTAAATTGAAGTAGGTGGAGTGGAGTTTAAAGTGGGAATTCGTGGCTGAAAATCAAACACCTTAACCACTAAGCCACTGCTAATAAGAAGCACGTGAATTTTAAGGTTGATTTTTGCGTTGCACATAAATTTAATAAAACTACTTTAACTAAGACCTATTTTATCAAATAGATATTGATACATTTGCTGAGTAGGGAATAACTAAACCGTGGACTTACTAGATACTGTTGTTTCAAATACGTTTGAAGAAGTAGAATCAGTAACCGGTAACGATGAATTGGAATTAGTAATCGAAAACGAAGATGACGATGACGAAGAATAATCAGATGTGATAATAATTTGATTCGAAATATCAGATAAAGATGTCGGATGAACTTGAAGGCATGAAGGTTTTACCTTATCACGCTCAAGCGATGATAAATGCCGTGAATTTATATGTCGAAAAAGACGATCGGAATTCGAAGACCTTGATAGATAAATAAGATACACAAATTATTTTGCATTAGAAACACTGAAACAGACAAGAAACGATTATTTGTTGCAATTGAAACAACAGACATTGAATTATTATTACGCATTGTTCTAACCAGTCAACTATAATTCACCAAGTTTAAAGAAAACGAACTGCACTTACGATTTTTAAAGTGAAGGAATTCCTTTGATGAACATTAAATATGATAAGCAAAATAACCTTCAAGAGAAGATGCAAGCATGTTTACAAATACAATCATATATATGAAAGAGCTATCAAGGTTAAGTGAACTAATTTACAGAAAATATTACTTACAATAAGTCAGACAGTTATTTAAACAATAATTTTCTCCAGTTACGAAGTTTGTGTCACCATAATATTTGAATGAATTCAAGAAATTAGGCTATTTTTGATTAATTTAATTAAATGAACAAAAACTAAAATGGCTCGATATAAGGACGAAGGCAAAGATAATAGATGATAATTTATTATGTAGTGGGCAAATCTCAAATAAATAAATCAAAAGATATTAATTTTGTGTAAGTTTTATTTACGCCAAATAACAGTCAAACTTTAAACAATTTAAATTGAATTTTACTTAGCACTAGTTAACAACTTAGTGTATAATATAATTTATAATATCATAAAATTAAATTATTACAACAGCCCCCAAATGCTCTGGTATGACCGAGAGTGGGGTGGGTTCGCCCTCCCTCTCGAAATGCTCTCACATGGCCATGCGTATACAGTCTCTGCCAGGGAAGTCCTGCTCACCGCCTTCTCGTGGCGGGGGTGTTGTTTACGAAAATGAGAGGACGAAAAGCGAATGTCCGGCACTTTAACCATATTCCAAATCAATGGTGCACATGGGCTCCAGTATCCTGCGGGAACAAATGGCGTATGAACCAATTGTTGGTCAGCGGCTACCATGGGACTGCATCTCCTCACGATGCTCCAGTGCCTTGTGGGTCAGACCTTTAGGTCAGAGGCTCGGGGTGTGGTCCCCTAAGAAAACCACCTGTTTCGGTCTGGGCGCCCGGGCAGTATCACAGCCCACACACACACACACACAAATATGGTGTGACGCATATATATTTGGTGCCCTCTTGTACCAATATTTATGTGTTGAAATAAATAAATAAATAAAATAGAACTTATTTGCTGAGTTATATTATTAATCGTCCTTAAATAAGCATTTTCAAATGTAGCAACAGATGAGATAAGATCAACAATTTACCTAACATGTAAATGATAATACGTCAACGAAACAATTTGAATATTAAATTATTGAATACAACAACCAAACTAAAGACAAAAGGTATCTGAAAGTACAAGAAGAAATCATTGTACTACATTGATGATTGCGCATCAGATATGAAAAAATTCTAAATAGGTCCAATATGCGATTCATTTTCAATTTACATATTTGCACATGACTCCTAAACATTAGATTAAATTGAATATATGAAACTAAAATGTATCAACCAAAAGACCATTAGTATAGTGTTAGTACATACAGTTGATAATACCACTTATTAATGCAATACAAAGAGTTAAGTTAAAGGCATTAGTTACGATCAGAAAGCATATAAGACTAGCAAATATATACAGCTTACGGCATGGGATAAGTAACTATCGATCTACATTGTTCCACTTAATCTCGACACAGCAAATTGAAAGCAACAAGAGAAAAGCGTAAAGAGAATGCAGACAATGGTAGTAATAATAAGAGCTGAAGGGTAAACGCAAAAATACCACAAGAAATAAGTGAAAGAGAGAGCGAACTAAACGTAAAATGACAAAATGTTCGAAATACGGAATAGATGTATATACCCCACCAATACTTTGCTTAAATAACATTTTAGGCACTAAAAAAATGAACAATTAGTGAATGTAACTTGTTAAGTATTTAAGCTAATGGAAATTATTTTCTGACGAAAGTTCAAGTTCAATAAAAAAATCACAAATTTATTTTAGAAACAAGACAAACTCCTATATAAACACATAGATGCCATACAATTTAATTTATATAACTACTATTCCAAACAACCTATTTGCAGACAATGCAATCAGAAGACGAAGTCAAAAGATCATAACCATGTGATAACTATAGGCGTAATAACTTGTCGAACAACATGATCATATACTGACTAGTTTAGATATTTTCATGAAAAATAAGGGCCAAACTAGACAAATTAAGCAGAGATGGATGATGGTTAGCAGTGAAATACAAGACGCGAATTCTATCCTATTTGGGACTCAGTTGGATGTACTTGCATCCCAAAATCCTAGAGTGTATATCTATGATAGAAACACAAAATAAACAAGAATTCTCGTTTTTAAAAAAAGGTTGGATAATTTTCTGACAGAACAAATTAAATTTACTCACGTAAAAGTACAGTAATCACAATGGAATAAATTTTTAGGTGGAGATAGCTCATGCTGCTGGATCGACTTATCAGGTGCGTTTTTTAGATCTGAAGAAAATGTAAATATATCTAATAAATCATATGAATTTAAAGGAAAAAACAACGGATAAAACATTTTCTTGAAAAATTTCATGTAAATGGCATGAATAAACAAAGGTTATCTTAGAAAAAGTGCAAAGGTAAACAATGGATAATAGCTCATTCAACTCAAGGTCAACAGAACAAGTTGTTAGTCGATGGTGGGACAATCATAACTGTTCAATCGCCTTTGAAGTAGATAGTGATGTTGTTCAGAAGAACAACCAAAGCTTCATAGTCAAAATATCCGGCTCAGATAGCACAACACCTCCAACTGTGGATTAATTTGGTGAAAGAGATAATAGCGAGTAGTGGAATTCAGAATGCGTGTTTTGTCCTAATTGAGACAACCTAAATTCGGATAAACGAAGGAACTAAGTTTAAAATCACGCATAACATACATTTTATTCGACGTTACATCCTGGATGTGTTTTGAAATGGCTTCCTTCCTTTCAAAAAAGAAACTGAGTTTGAGTTATTAAAAAAATGGGAACGATGAAAAGAACATGATAGGCTTATATTACACTATACATATTGTTGGGAAAGTTCTAAAATATCCCTCGTCAAAACCTCTAGAGGCCTAGAAACTCCAAGAAGTGTTTCGTCCAATCAGCGCTGAATTAAAGCTTCACAGAAATATCTAAAAATGCAGAATCATGTATCACTGTTTTGATTGAAATAATGACCGATACTGCTACTGTATTTAGTATGCTTTAGGGAATTTCCAGAGCCCAAGGTTGTATGTAACTATAAATACCCTCGTTTTCCTTTACATAAAATAACCTTGAAGTAAGGCTCATACTCGCAATTCGCGCTTTTTTTCTCTCTAGTGTTGCAGTTGACGTGTAGAAATAATTATGGTTACTATAACAGGCTAAGAAGACAATATAGACGTGTCGATAGCACAACTCATCGTATGTGGACCGTGACATAGGAGCAATGTCTAAATGTGCCTTACCTGTTGAAAATAATAACTGTTTTTCATGATAAGGCGGCTACTTGAGTGTTGATTTTCCACTCATTAACAGTTATTTAAATTATTTTTATTGGGTATATTATTACACATGATTGGAATGGTTTTCGATAAAATAAATGTACGCGACATAACACACTTACAACACCTTAACATCGACATATATTTCGCATAATTAGAAGTCAATTAACAAATCTCAACTTACTAGCTATATCAAGACAGGATTCTTCTAAATGATTGGTTTCCTTGACAAAAGAAGATAGTGTACTGACGGGCTAAAACAAAACCAAGGAAAATAGCTAGATAGTAAAATTTCTTAAAAAGGTTGACAAAATCCAACTCAACCCCAGTTCAACAACTTTGGAATTTTAAATCATTCATCTACTAAGTCAGCAACATCCTCAAAAACATAGTATTAAGGGGGTTAGAGAAATTTTAAAAAATCTAAAGACGCTTTTAATAACGGAGCTAATTGCTATTAGACAAGGAAACTATTGTATATAAATTTTGTTTATAAACGAATCACCAAATTGAAATGTCCGGCAGAATTTGAACCTGTGACCTAGTTACAATCAGGATGAAATTTCTTTCTTGTGATTCACCTATAAATAGGATTTCTCTTCAAAGTTAGTGATGTTACAAGAACTGTGTAGTACATATGCTATTTAAGATTTGTTCCCATTAGTTTCCTGACTGCTCCACAAATGGTGTAATTCAGTAAATACCTAACAACCAAAGTCTGTACCTGCGATGACACTTCGACAGCCACTAGGCGAAAAAAAAACGTTGGTTACAGAAATAAAATCGTGTAGTTGATTGAATAAAAAATGATAACATTAGGGTTTTACAGTATCTGGCATAAATAACACTACAGTCCGATGTAGTCGACCAAGTAAAAGATATTTAAAGGCAGAATAAGCAGAAAACTTACAACTTGTGAAACATCCCCCGATTTTCTGGGTGGTTGGGAACGATGATAAGGTGTTGCACCACAGTAACTTACATCTACAGTTGACAAATGGAAAGAACATATGTGTGAGAAGAAACAACTAACAATGACGTGTATGGTAAAACTGAAACGTTCTATCCTCCCACTTCAGTCTTGAGTACTAGCCTTCATAAAAAATATTTGGCTACGAACCGTTAAGGGGTTGAAACTCGAACTGCGAATACTTTAATTAGTCGCCTAAACAAGGTATCAAACACACCGTCACAAAACAGTATTTAAACGCCTGTACCTTTCCGCAACTCATGATTATTTTGACTGCCTGGTGAGACTTCATCATACCAAATTTAATGCATGAAAAATAATCAAAGTATGCAGTTCTGTTTGAGGATTACGGTTACAAAGTCAATTACGTAGCTTATTATGTAGTGATTTCTCGACTGATAAATGGGGAGATCTGGGAAAGAACTACTAAGCGATTCATAGTTTATCATTTTTGGAGAAAACCTCATAAACCATGCGCTTTCCACTGGGTTTATTCGAATGACAAAACGTTAACAAATAATGTTAAAACTACTACGAACAACTCCATGTAGTATTACACTAAAGACAAAATTATCCTTTTAGATATAGAAAATTGTTATAATCCACACTGGCTGAAAGCAAGACATTTTAGGGAAGAACATTAAAAACATTTAAATGATGGCAAACTTTCGAATCTGTGTGGGTCAAACATTTATTTTTATTAAATGGTTAGCTCCTATACATTATAAATCTGAGCATATTACAATTACCATAGATAGTCGATGATAGTATATCACATTCAATTGATATTGAATAATATCCCCAGTTAAAAATGGCTAGTTTATAAACACAACACATCCATTTTGCACTTTTAGTCAACTCTAGTGGTAATGAAAGTAGTAGATATATCTACTCAGGAAATGATCTTCTAAAAGGCATTTACGCCTAGGTGGGATACAATCTGGTGATCTGTATCTGAAGAGAAATTTTCTATTGTACTACCTAATTTGAAGCCATCATTTCGTCCCAGTTGCGTCCCATTTCCATACTAACCGTAAAGAAATTAGACAAATTAAATAATAAAATAGAATAAAATAATCAAAATAAACAATTATTGCTAACCTGGAGCTGCAACACTAGAGTGAATTTTTTGATTTATTAATGTTGAATGAACGCACACACTCGGTAGTTTTGCCACATTCCTCGAACTGACAAAACAGAATGTCTGGTAAAAAATGATACAGAACAATGCAAAACAGTGATGTATGGTTATACCATTATAACACACAGTAGGATTATTTCGAGTCACTATTTTGTTAGCGCATGAAGTGACTATTGAAAGATAGAAAGTAAAATAAACAGCAACAACCCTTTCGAAATCCTGCACTACTACATGTTATGAAAAACGTAGTGTATCATATTTATCATTGACAAATACAAATATTTATGTAGAATAACATGAGTTAATTTCAATTCGTTAGGTTCTCGTCAGTTGCCTACAACCTGTAATACTTAGAAATCATAATCATCACTTAGTATAACAAGGACATACAACACGATACTATGCTAATGTGTGTTCAAAGCAATATTCAACTAAGTACAGTCGTTTAATAATTTCCAATCAATTTTGTAATTAGGATTTTAATATTACAAGCTCTAAGCAGCTGACGAGGATCTCATGAAGTAAAAGAATTCATGTTATGCCGCTTAAACCTTCATTTTGTCCCCATTTAAGGTGATAAAGAAACTATATTGTTGATAAATAGTCTGTGATTGCTTGAAAATGATCGATACGAGACTCTTCACCATAGGGAAAAGAAAGTGGGGACGCCTGTCTAAGTAGGAATTTACTCAGTGATCACAAAACACTGATTTCACTAACTGAACACCAAAACATATAAAAATAAACTACAACCAAATCCATAAACCTAATTCGTGTAAGTTTAGTTTGTTACGGCGATCGATATACACGAAGGATTTAAAAAATAAGCTAAATCAAGTGAGTTTATCTGACCCATACCGATATCAGGTCTAGTACACCAAATATGTTAACTGAATATATCGTGTATACTGACAAATATAAGCATTGAATCCTTAACTTTATAACCACAGAAATCAGATCAGTAATAAACGACTGTAGTAAATGTTGAATCAGCTACATCTTGTTTGAGGACGATAATAATGTATCTGTTGTAATGTACTCGATGCATTATATTTGAATGTAATAAATGCAGCGATATATCTGCTTTTGTTATAATAATTAAAGGTCATAGAGGTGTAAAAAATAAATAAGGTGATATGATGAGCATTTACGAATAAAACAATGAGAATATAAGGCATAAGTAAAGGGGAGAATGTAATAATAATAATAATAATAATAATAATAATAATAATAATAATAATAATAATAATAATAATAATAATAATAATAGGATAATCAAAATAATTAAGGCCAAGGTAACGATAACGATAAGACGTAATTCTTTTGTACGCATAATTCTGGTTTAAGCTCCTGTTTAGGCACCTATTATTATTATAATTATTATTATTATTACTGCATTCCCCCCTTTACTTATGTCTTATATTCTCATTGTTTTATTCGTAAATGCTCATCATATCTGCTTTTGTTTGGTGATTAATAAATACAAATAACTCAGTTCTACAAAACAGACAACCTAAATGAATAACACAGATGTCCCGACCGTTGTTGCTACCTTGACGTGGTGGTCGGGCTTGCCTATCGTGATGAAGCAACGGACCTATACTGGCTGCAACAACTGTTCCTCAAGGTCCTACCATGTCAGACAGGTCGGTTGAAGAGCGGTAAGACTAAAAGCAACAAACCCAAGCTCCGAAGGCGAAGTCACACTTCTGACTGTACAGAGGTGGTTCCTTCAGACAACCAGCATGACAGCGATGCTGCCTTCCCACAAGGAGGGGTGGGGTTAGAAAAGGTCGACCCTAAAAATGCACACCTCGCCTTATCCCACGGATATCCGTCTCCGGCGGTAAGGTCTCAACAAGTACGGAGCTAACACAAAAATTACCCATAAAAAGGTCTTGTGTGACCGACCTCAAGGAGTTGTCCCTTGGGTACTGCGGTCACGCTCTCAGGTCACTAAGAACACCTCTAATCCAATTTCCTCTTCAGGCACCTCCAGAACCCTTCCACGGTGTGGGCAACCGGGAAGTGATAACCGCCCTCATACCTCTAACACCACTCAAGACCACTGACTGAACACAGATGTTATGAGTATGATAGAGGAAGAAAGCGAAATAGATTGTAATTTTGACGAAGCAGGTTTTATTCAAAGTGTAGATGATGTTATAGATAACTGATAAAATTTAAACGCAGCAACGTCGAACAAAGTCATTGTCAATAAAAGATAAACTAAACAACAGAACCTTCAAGAAGTAACAGTGTTTGAAATCTATAAGGCAATGATAGGACTTTCTACAAATAAAACAAGTGAAAACACTATCTCTCAGGTAAAGCAAACAGGCTCGGCAACCTTACATTTATCGGTGTGCGAAGAATTAAAAAATCAATACCTGGTATATTAAAGTAAAACGTACTGAAAAATACATTCAAAAATCAATAGAAACAAATATGGTACCAAAACAACTTGATCATAATGTTTATTGAACTACATCAGTGATCATATAATCGAAGTAAAATAGGTGACAATCGAATAGAAGAAAGTAAGGAGTGAAACAATAGCTTACTCGATTTGATACAGCTGTTTTTACACTTTCTGGAATGAAACGTGTTGGACAACAAAATGCAGACGAAGTTATGAGGTTTGGTAAGGCAGGGGAAATAGTTACAGAAATATTATTTGTTGCAAGACAGATCGATGAGGGGTTTTGAACAACTTTTTGATCATTGATTATGCTAGTTGGAATGCGAAAATCCTGTTGATCAGACAGTGCCTTGGGAATGAAACTATCATTTTGTAATATCAGTGAACCATCATTATTTTTGTTGATAATACGGTTGGACAGTGAGATACTTGGCGGCTATATTAAAGCAACAAGAAAAGAAAAGAAATCAAGTTTTTCAATTTAAGCTACCAAAGACTTTTGACGTAGCAATTCGAAAATACTAACAAGGGTCGGATGTGTGTAGCCAAGAAACCAAAAATACTTCCACACCCAAGATATAGTACACATCGTAAGACTCTCGATGAGTTAAAACTAAGATTACCAAAACTCACCCACACCACATTACACTGGACCCAGTGGGTGAGAATCCAGTCATCAAAGTCTACATTTTTAACACACTACACCTGTTTTGATAAAAATTAACACGTACAACGTAAATACAATATCAAGTCAGTCGTTATACATATCCATTAAAACCTGTGACTATATAAACAGGCTCCTTGAATTTCGTCAAGACATACTGTTAAGTAATGAAGTGACGTTAATGAATTCTTAAGAGACAATCAGAATCTAGAAAACAAAATGAACATAATGAGGATTTGCGGAGATTGTGGTAATTTTAATAATTGAATTCATGAGTCCATCTAAGCTAGACCACCATTGGAAACCTAAAAGCACGGAACAGCCGTTTCGTCTTAGTATGGGACTCCTCGGAAGTGCTCATTCACGATCCGTCACGTGGGACTCGAACTCAGGACCTCCAATCTCGCGCGTTAATGCTTAACCTCTAGACGAAACGACCGTCCAGTGCTCTCAGGTTTTCAATAAGGGTCTAGCTTAGATCAACTCATAAATTCAACTATGAAAATGAACATACTTGATAAAATTATCCATAGAAGGAAGTTATGTCCTTACATATAAACAATACTAACATAATAACATTACGTTACATCTACTTCAGTCGCTCAGCTTCGAGACCAACAGGCAGGATTCCGTAAGGATAGATCATGTACAGACCAAATCGCAACTCTACGGATCATTGTGGAACAATCAATTGGATGGAATTCATCACTCTACATCAACTTCATTGACTAGGAGAAATCATTCGATAGCGTGGACAGAACAGCACTATGGAAGCTTCTTTGATACTACGGCGTGCCTCAGAAAATAGTCAATATCATACAGAATTCCTATGATGGATTACACTGCAAAATCGTGCATGGAGGACAGGTCACAGACTCGTTCGAGGTAAAGACCGGTGTCAGGCAAGGTTGCTTACTCCCACCCTTTCTCTTTCTCCTGATGATCGACTGGAGCATGAAGACGTCAACATCTGAAAGGAAACACGGGATACAGTGGACAGATAGGATGCAGCTGGACGATCTAGACTTCACAGATGATCTGGCCCTCCTATTGCAATCGCAACGACAAATGCAGGAGAAGTAGACCAGTGTAGCAGCAGCCTCAGCAGCAGTAGGTCTCAATATACACAAAGGGAAAAGCAAGATTCTCCGATACAACACAACATGCAACAGTCGAATCACACTTGACGGAGAAGATTTGGAAGATGTAAAAACCTTTACATATCTGAGCAGCATCATTAATTAACATGGTGGATCTGATGCAGATGTGAAGGCGCGGATCGGTAAAGCAAGAGCAGCATATTCACAATTGAAGAACATCTGGAACTCAAAGCAACTGTCAATCAACACCCCCAAATGCCCTGGTACGGCCGAGAGCGGGGTGGGTTCGCCCTCCCTCTCGAAATACTCTCACATGGCCACGCGTATACAGCCTCTGCCAGGGAAGTCCTGCTCACTGCCTTCTCGTGGCGGGGGTGTTGTTTACGAAAATGAGAGGACGAAAAGCGAATGTCCGGCACTTTAACCATATTCCAAATCAATGGTGCACATGGGCTCCAGTATCCTGCGGGAACAAATGGCGTATGAACCAATTGTTGGTCAGCGGCTACCATGGGACTGCATCTCCTCACGATGCTCCACTGCTTTGTGGGTTAGGTCATTAGGTCAAAGACTCGGGGTGTGGCCCCCTAAGATGACCACCTGCTTCGGTTTAGGCACCCGGGCATTATCACAGCCCACACACAATTAATGAACTGAACTGTCTATGATCATGGAAACTAATTCTCTTGCTTCGACGAACATTCAAATGATTCAATTATTATTATTGCTATTGTTATTATTATTATTATTATTATTATTACTATTATTTACTACGTCATTATTCACCCTCTTTTATTCCCACTCTGTTTATACTCATTTTTTTCGACCTATACAGCAGCTCGTCTATGGTGGAAATTCGACTGTATCTAAACGTTCTCGAGTCACTGTCCGGTTGAAAATTGTATGTTACCACCGAATACGAATACTGAAGCAGTTTTTCTGAAACCACGTGCACCATTCAAACTGGCTGCCTTCAACGTTCGCACATTTATGCAGGTCGGACAACAGATAGGGCTGGCTATGTCTTTGGAAAGTCTTAATATCGATGTTTGTTGTCTATCCGAGACCCGTATTCAAGACTCTGGCGAAGTACTACAAATTCGATCTCCATCTGTCGCTTCGAAAAGCTTGTTTTACGTGCGCTTATCCGGGGACCCTGTGGCATCTTCGTCTGGTCTTGCTGGCGTTGGTGTCGCACTAAGCGCTAGAGCTGAGGCAGCACTAGTCGATTGGATCCCCATTAACAGTCGGTTATGTGCTGTTAGATTAGAAAGTTCCATCAAAGTGAGAAGAAATCGGCGTGAGAAACGATGTCTTTTCGTCATCTCCGCCTATGCCCCGACAGATTGCAGCCCGGATGCAATCAAGGATGAGTTTTACCACCAGTTATCTGTTCTTCTCCAGAAAGTGCGTTCGACAGATATTGTAGTACTAGCCGGAGACTTGAATGCTCAGGTCGGGCGTCTAGGCACAGAAGAGAGTCGTTTAGGTGGCCGATGGGGACTCGTTGGTCGCAGGTCAGATAACGGGGACCGTCTACTGCAACTTTGCACAGACCACAACCTGTTTCTGGCTAGCACTAACTTTCGGCACAGTCATCGCCGATGTGCCACCTGGCGTCCTCCCTCTGCATCTCAAGCCTGGACTCAGATTGATCACATCGCGATCAGCTACCGCTGGCGTGGTTGTGTACAAGACTGCCGCTCCTTTTGGAGTACCTATCTGGACTCTGACCATGCCTTGGTCTGCGCCAATCTTGCCTTACTTTTCAGTGGACAACGAAGTGACCGCCATCAACGGATTGATGTTAGCAAGCTGGTTGCAACTTCTGTTGCAAGTAAGTATCGAACCGAGCTAGCCTCTAGGCTAGCTACCACTCCACCGAAAAGTATAGATGAGCATTGGTTGCAATTGCATGACGCCATGAAAATGGCGGGAACAGTCAGTTGTGGGTTTGCGAAACGTCCCGCTTTAAGCACTGGGTTTCTTCTGGTTCCTTACAACTCATTGAAGCCCGTCGGTCTACTCCGGGTGACCGTGAGTTTGACCATAAACGAAGGATGTTACGTAAGGAAATTGGGCAAAGCTTGCGTAAGGACCGAGAAGCCTGGTGGTCGATGCGTGCTAATGAGCTGGAAGCAGCAGCTGCATCTGGTAACTACCGGAAGCTCTTCCAGCTCATCCGAGCCACTGGCAGCAAGAAGTCTGGTGTGAGTGAAACAATCTGCGAGGATGATGGGATGCCAATCACTAACATCCATCGACGTCTTGGACGATGGGCAGAATTTTTCGAAGGGCAGTTCAACTGGCCTGCTGCTCCGGCAACATCGGTCAGACTGTCCTGCCCTCCATGGCCGGTGACGACTGATCCACCAAATGAGGAGGAAGTCCGCAAGGAACTCCAACTCTTGAAGCGTTACAAATCACCTGGCCCAGATGACTTACCTCCGGCTCTTTTTAAAGATGGTGGTGACTTTTTGACTAAGGAATTGACGACGTTGTTTACAAAGGTTTGGGAACTAGAGAGTGTACCAACGTCATGGAATGAGTCGATAGTTGTCCCTATCTTTAAAAAGGGTTCACGTCGTTCCTGTAACAACTATCGGGGGATAAGTCTACTTCCGATTGCGTCCAAGCTATTGGCTTCCGTCATTCTTCGTAGGTTGTTCAAAACCCGAGAAAGATTGACTCGCGAGGAGCAGGCTGGGTTTCGTTCTGGTCGAGGATGTATTGATCATATCTTCACCCTCCGCCAAATGTTAGAACACCGCCATACTTATCAAAGGCCAACAATCGTAGTGTTTCTTGACATCAGGGCTGCCTTCGATTCGTTGGACAGGACTGTTCTCTGGGATTGTCTATTGAAGAAGGGTGTGCCTGAGAAGTTTATTAACATCCTAAAAGCCCTATATAAAAACACCTCAGGCAGAGTGAGGGCATACAACCACCTCTCTCCATTGTTCCATTCGAGCAGTGGGGTTAGGCAGGGTTGCCCAATCTCACCATTCCTCTTCAACTTTGCCATCGATGACATTCTGGAAACAGCTCTGATGAATGTAAGTAATGGTGGTGTGGATCTGTTGCCTGGAGAAAGACTTCTCGACCTTGAGTATGCGGACGATATTGTCTTACTGTGCGATAATGCCCAAGGCATGCAATCCGCACTTAATCAGTTGGCAATCAGTGTCCGTAGGTATGGTATGTGCTTTGCACCTTCGAAGTGCAAAGTACTTCTACAAGACTGGCAGGATTCTAATCCTGTACTCACCCTGGATGGTGAGCAGATAGACGTAGTCGAGAAGTTCGTGTATCTGGGTAGCTGCATAAGTGCTGGTGGGGGTGTGAGTGATGAGATCAATGCACGAATAGTGAAAGCCAGAGCGGCTTATGCCAATCTGGGCCACCTTTGGCGCCTTCGTGATGTTAGTCTGGCTGTAAAAGGTCGGATCTACAACGCGTCGGTGAGAGCAGTTTTGCTCTATGCTTGTGAAACCTGGCCTCTCCGAGTTGAGGACGTTAGACGACTCTCTGTGTTCGATCATCGCTGTCTCCGAAGGATTGCTGACATTCAGTGGCAACACCATGTCAGTAATGCAGAGGTTCGGCATCGTGTGTTCGGGCACAGAGATGATAATCAATTGGTGTCACCATCTTGAAACACCGACTTCGGTGGCTTGGACATGTTCTCCGAATGTCGTCCCAGAGAATTCCACGTCGTGCATTATTTGCCGACTCTGGGACTGGTTGGAAAAAGCGGAGAGGTGGTCAGTGCATGACATGGTGTCGTGGTATGAAAGAAAGCTGCAAAGGACTGGCTTGTGTTGGTCCTTCACGACTCCCTGGTTGGGGTCTGAGAGATGGTGCTACACAGTGGCTAGAGACGTTATCAGATATGGCTCAGAATAGAAGCCAGTGGCGATCCTGCTGTAACCTTCTTTTACTTTCTTCATAAAAAATGGTTGTATCTTCCTTAACTGAAAGATTTCTTCTGATTGTATCCTTCTGTTCCCCTACTATTGCTATTATTATTATTACACTACCTTACACCAATCTCTTCGTTATTGTTTTTTTTTATTATTATTTTTTTACGTTCCTCACATTTTTTTCTTCTTAGATTCTCATTGTTTTGTGTGGCGCATATATATTCGGCGCACTCCTGTACCAATATATGTGTTCAAATAAATAAATAAATAAATACAACCAACACCAAGATCAGAATTTTCAATACAAATGCCAAGACAGTTCTATTGTATGGGGCGGAAGCCTGGAGAACTACGAAAGCCGTCATCCAGAAGATACAGGTGTTTATTAACAGTTGTCTACGCAAAATACTTCGGATCCGTTGGGCGGACACTATTAGCAACAACCTACCGTGGGAGAGAACAAACCAGATCCCAGTGGAGGAAGAAATCAGAAAGCGCTGGAAGTGGATAGGACACACATGAGATCCTCAAGGCCAAGGAAAAGAGGAAGACTAAAGAGTATATTACGCCGGGAAATGGAGATAGACATGAGAATAATGAACTACAGTTGGATAGAACTAGAAAGGAAGGCCCAGGACAGAGTGGGTTGGAGAATGCTGGTCGATGACCTATGCTCCATTGGGATTAACAGGCGTAAATAAGTATATAAGTTCAGTCTCTGACCGGAGAGGATGACTGAATCCTAAGAGGCTATTGCTTAGCACATCAGGCTTATAAAAAAAATTAACCTACAAGAAGTGAACTCTGCCAACACTCGTAAATTTATTCTCATGCGGTGCCACACTACTTCACAAAATAGCCCCAAATATGTCTGACAGATTTCAAGATAAATATAGTCGTCAAACAACGAGACGACTATATTTGGAAAGCGTGAAGATGAAACCCACTCAGAAAGTTTACCTAAGTTTCGGATGAAAACAATCACTACATAAAACTGTTACCTAGGTGGAATAGATTATGATTCATTCGCTTAAGTCAGTAGACCGAAACCAGTGAAAATTTGTAAACGTTTATTAGTTTGAAGATTTCGGAAATTATGCTGGTCAGATGTACTTCTCGATAGTTCCTGATGTGTTTTTATGCTACGTATAAAGTTGAGGTAATACCTTACGATGAAATGATTTCGTTTTTTGTGTATTATAAATTACGCTCTACCAATTTGGTGATCAAAAAGGATTTATTTTAGATGGATAGAAACCACTGAATTCTGCTGTCATATTGCAATCTTTAGTCAAAGTCTTGAAACTTGTGGTTGACTAATCATTTTCTGTATCAGATTTGAAATAAAGATAGATAGGTACAAGTGCTAACGAATGAAATTATTTAATCAAACAACCATATTTTGTAACGGTATAAAAAGACGAAATCTACAATAAAAAAATACTAAAATAAACAAAAGTAGGAGTCAGGAAGGGGGACTATAATGAGTGGTGGAATGTCCAAAGTATGAAGGTGAAGAATTGATGCATCCATGTCATTTTTAGATTTGAAATCATACTACCTATATTTTCAATTGTCATAGCGCGTTCAGACGATGTATAGGTCGAAATATGAATACTTACTAGTAAGGTTCTTTGAGCCTGTAATGAAGTAAATTTAACTATTAAATCCAATAAACAATAACATATAACTCATGCCCCCAGATTTCTCAAGAACAGATGTCATCAATGAATAATTGAATCCCAGGAATAAATAAAAGTAGGTTATCCAGCTCTGAAAACTAATTTTCTTGGAATATTCGCAATCACCATTGAGATGAATGGAAAATCAACTACGTCAGCCTTCTGAGAGATGAATTCCTTTGAACTGCTGTACTTTAATTTTAATTAACACTTTACAGGAACAATATAGATAATCTCTATCAACCTGAGTTATTTAAAGAGATAGAATTCCTAACGGAGTCCTCTAAATAACAGGTATGTGGTTGAAAAGTAGATGGGTTGGATCAGAACCAATCAATGACAAAAGTAGTCATTTTCGGAGATTGTCATGGAAACCGGGATGCACTTTTATCTTACAGCTGCACTTCTAGCCAGTTCTAGAGTATAATTGCAATATATATTAAATGTCAATAGTAACAGAATCAACAACTCACCCATAATCCGCTAAAATCATTGGTAGTCGTCGATTTGGATGAATTTATTGGTGGAAATCTGGGATTAGAAATATTCAGAACCAATGGTTTATTGTTTATACTGGACAAATGAGATCTATTCTTAACGTCTGGGGATGGAGTCAGTTTCGGTAGTGAAGCAGGTGAATGAAACAACTCAGGATTTTGAAAATGGCCAAGTACTCGACTTTCATAAGTAATCCCTGGTAAATGTTTAACAGATTCTGTTAGGGGATTAGATGTTTCGAATATAGTATGTTTATCAATCGTCATTCCAAAGGTATTGGACTCCTTGAAAGGGATCACACAAGTAGAAATAAAAATAAGCAAGAATTGACAATTTTTCAATACTCACGCAGAAGCAGAAATAAACAGTTATCACACATTCATTAAAGACATACACACACCGCTATATTGCCATTACTTTATACCTTCAGCATAATAATTCCGGAAATTAAACGCGAATACCAAAAAACAACGCGGTGACTGCCTCTAATTGATCCCATCCAATATACATCAATCAGATGGAATATCTGTGATCGTATATCATAACAGTATCCGAAAATGCTGTGGATTTGGACTAATAATAATAATATTCGGCCAGATGTAATAAGTTAATATTTGAAAAAAAAAAACAGGACAATCTGTCTAAACACAGTACATTTTTCTAGCTACTAGATATGTATTAAAGTAACTTAATCCAACAACATTAGTAATATCACTTAGTTAAAGTTATATTGATCAGTTTTATTACCAATCACTTCAAGTTATGTAAGTTCTGGAAGGATTTCTGATTTCAGTAGTCACTGCTAGAACATTATTTCCATTTCTTTACTGCTTATCTTCTTAAATTCATTTCGCTGTGCAAATGTGGCGGGGCAACTTGGACAAATATAAATATGTGCCAGGCTCTATGCTGATCTTAACTGACTGATTGACTGAAACCCCGTATTGGATTTATGGTATTTTAAGTGCATGGCCAGGCAGACTAACAAACTGTTGGCTTCCCATTGATAAGTATCATCATCCAAATACACTAAAAGCAAACAACTCTGGAAATTAATGTACACCAAAATTTAAAATCAGAACAAAAGAATGGTATACGAAGAGATTTATGGAAAAAACGAATGTAAAAAGTACATTAGCACATAGAAAAATTTAGATGAAAATATATTTTAGTTAAACTTTGATCGTTAGTACGTGTAATGATAATTGAGATTTCCAGTTTTCGTAAACAAAAGGATGACGAATGGATGGCGGGTTCTCCATTGATAAATGTGGGAAGAACTGTTCAGACATAACGACATTACCCCAAGAGGATAGAAGTAAATTTTCCAACGGTTGTATGGATCCAGGATATGCCTAAATGTGCAGAGAGAAATTACTGATCATTATGAAAACACAATTGTCCAATACGAATATTTTGTCTATTTAAACATGATAATTTTGGATTTATAACTGTACAACCGAATGAAAAAGATATTGAAGACGATCGTTCGCTCTTTTACTCTTTGTTAATCACTATGGATAACTCAAAGTTTACTGATACACTGAACACGAAACCTTGAATACTAAATCAAATGAGATGGAGTTGATATGAAAGCCGAAATGCATTTGAGTTACGCACTTCGAACAATCTGGTCACATATATCAAGGCACTTATATATGGAAGACAAATAAAGGCCAATTAAATAATAGTCAATAAATATGAAGAGGTAAATGGAAAGAAAAGGAAACCATAATCCAGGATGACAACACATTTATTTCATATTACATTAAATTCTCACTCCCTTACCACCATATATTTACAGTAATCTTGTTTGATTTTTAGTTTTTCAATTGTAATAGTTTGACAAGTGTAGCCAGATTGTTCAAATCCCGACCGTTGTTGCTACCTTGACGTGGTGGTCGGGCTTGCCTATCGTGATGAAGCAACCGAGCTATACTGGCCGGAACAACCGTTCCTCAAGGTCCTACCATGTCAGACAGGTCGGTTGAAGAGCGGTAAGACTAAAAGCAACAAACCCAAGGTCCGAAGGCGAAGTCGTACTGCTGACTGTACAGAGGTGAGAGCGTGACCGCAGTGCCCAAGGGACAACTGCTTGAGGTCGGTCACACACGATCTTGTTATGGTAATTTTTGTGTTAGCTCCGTACTTATTGAGACCTTACCGCCGGAGACGGATATCCGTGGGATAAGGCGAGGTGTGCATTTTTAGGGTCGACCTTTTCTAACCCCACCCCTCCTTGTGGGAAGGCAGCATCGCTGTCATGCTGGTTGTCTGAAGGAAACACCTTACTACAAACATGAGAGAACCAAGCTGGCTTTAGACCTGGTCGTGGCTGCATCGACCACATATTCACCATTCGTCAGGTTCTAGAACACAGGCATACCTATCGGCGTCCGACGATGGTGGTCTTTCTTGACTTAAAAGCAGCATTTGACTCTGTAGACCGCGAGACTCTGTGGCAGTGTCTGTCATTGAAAGGCGTACCTCAGAAGTACATAAACCTTGTGAAGGCTCTTTACTCGAACACTACTAGTCGAGTCAGGGCTTATGGCGAACTGTCATCTACCTTTACAACCTCAAGTGGTGTCCGTCAAGGCTGCCCACTTTCTCCATTTTTGTTTAACTTCATCATAGACCTATTGATGGAAATAACACTCTCGTCGACTGAATTCTCGGGTATTGATCTCCTTCCAGGAGGTCCACTTATCGACTTAGAATATGCAGATGACATAGTCCTGTTTGGTGAAGACGCTGACAAAATGCAGAGTCTTCTGGTAGCACTAAGCAACAATGCCAGAATGTTTGGGATGCGCTTCTCTCCCTCTAAATGCAAGTTGTTGCTTCAGGACTGGTCTGCGTCAACACCTGAACTAAGGATAGGGAGTGAAGTAGTCGAACGTGTTGACAACTTCACTTATCTTGGAAGTCTGATCAGCCCTAATGGGTTGGTGTCTGACGAAATCTCAGCACGGATTCGTAAAGCTCGTTTGGCTTTTGCCAACTTACGTCACCTTTGGCGGAGGCGAGATATCCGTCTATCAATAAAAGGACGAGTATACTGCGCGGCTGTCCGTTCTGTTTTAATTTACGGCAGCGAAACATGGCCCTTAAGAGTAGAAGACACCCGTAAGCTACTAGTATTTGACCACAGATGCCTTAGAAATATTGCTGGCATCTGCTGGGATCACCGGGTAAGTAATAGTGAGGTTAGACGCAGGGTATTAGGGAATGATGGTAAATCAGTTGATGAGGTTATGAATCTTCATCGACTGAGATGGTTGGGCCACGTATTACGTATGCCTGAACACCGATTACCGCGACGTGCAATGCTAACCGGTGTAGGGGATGGTTGGAAGAAAGTTAGGGGCGGCCAAACCAAAACGTGGCATCAGTGCCTGAAGTCACTAACTTCTAGTCTGAGCCATGTTGGTAGATGCAGACTACTTGGTTGGGGTCCGCGTGACTATCGTAACCAATGGTTGGAGACCCTTGGTGACATGGCTCAGAATCGATCACAATGGCGTCGGTGTATACACTCTCTGTCTTCCCTTAAACTAAGAGATTAAAATCGCTTCATATCTTTCTTTCTACGAACCAATTCTTTCTTCTTGTATTATATCTCTATTGCAATCTTTCTCTTATATATTACCACCTTTAACATAACCACTGCTATGAATCCGGTGTTCATCTTGTTGTGCTGATGCGGTATGGCGACCTGGACCGATGCACATATGTGCCTGGTCCTACGTTGTAGCTGACTGACTGACTGACTGAGATTGTTCAAAATGTACATGGCGAAAAAACAACAGTTTTCAGATTAACTCCTTTTTTTTACACTATAAAAATTTATGGAAAGAACTATTTATTCTGTAGCAAGTAAAACAGTTTAATTAAATACCCTCAAGCAAAAAAACAGAGCATTAAAAAAGTGATACTAATGCAAATGAAAAGTTAACCTTATCACCAAACTTAGTGTAGATTTATGTGCTAAGCCTTGAGTCGCGTCGATTTTATTACGGCTAGAAGTAGTACCTAATGAACAAGAATTATGTCAAATGTTTAAAACACAAGTCACAAGTGGTAATCAAATGTTAAAAGTTCTGGCTTTCACTCCAAAAAGTGCTATAGATTCATACTGCTGAGGAGCTTCCAATCGGGACAAAACAGGCGTCCAGGGTCTCACGGTCTAACAGTTCTTCAATTAATATCAGCTCATTAAAATTATCTTCCAGTTGAATGGATCCCCAGATATCACCAACCCAAAAAGTCATTATGGTATAACTTTAAATATTTTCAGTAGTTCCATTTAATAAAAAAAACTAGTTAAGATAAAATTTCTCTTGGGTTTCTTTTCCAAAAAATATTCAGATCTTTAGAAACAGTAAATTTATTTAAACACGATTGCTCAATACTTAAAACGGGTTCATGATATTTTCGGTTTCATTAGCCAATGGCTACCTGAATAAGGTTCAAACTAAAGATGCATTACTTGGTGGGTAAGAGTAATTTCCTGGTATTTTAGTCTCCTTAATGTTTAATTCATAGGGTAAATTATATAGTATTGTTTTACTCTAAAAAAAATACAGTGATGAAAAATGAATCTCTAATCAAGATTGCAAAACCAGCTGGACTCACCAATTTGAGTATACCTGAGAAATTTTGATATGTTTTAAGATGGTTTATTGTATTGTTCAAAATTGTCACATTAGATCCTCCTAAATCGATAAGTGATTTGCAAGACTGTGATGGATAATGTGAAGATTTTTCTAAAGGTATATTTAACAAAAAACGAGGTGGCATGTAAGTTCTGAAGAATACATGAGTGACGCATCCAGTTACATTACTTGGAATGGTTCTCATATAAGAAAATAGACCAGCTTGGTGTAAGTACCCATAAAATAAAATCAAGATAAACTGATGAAATATCCATAGTACAATAATACTTATACAAGTACATGAACGTCTTTTCGTTTTGTATGTCTTACTTTAGCATCAACACTCTGACCAACAACGAAACAAGCATACGGTAGGCATGGGATAAGAAAAACGTGCTTCTTGATGAGGTATAATAGACAAAACAAATGTAGGGAATACCACACTGATCCAAGCAATACACGATGAAATTGAACGACGTTGTAAAGGTTGAGTGAATAAACGAAATGTAAAAATAGGTCCAAATATTAAAGGCCAATTAATAAGGAAGTGTGTAAATCGAGAATGTAAGCCATGGGAAGAAACATGGTATGAGTTGGAGTTATAAGTTAAAAACCGGTAAGGTGTATATATCAACTCAAATCGTGAAAAATCGACCTGGAAAGCTTGTAATAAACTCACATTGTGAAAGTATAATGTATCTATTATTACACAAATGAATGTATTGAAAAAAACAAATAAAACGGATGGTAAACAAAGAATCATGGAAATGTACTTAAACTTTACTAAGATGAATGCTAATTCGATAACTCCTAATGGAAGAATGAACAAAATATAAGTAGGTCGTAAAAATGTACCCCACACAACAACAGCAGACTGAATACACATAAAAAGAATTAAGGATTGTTTATTCACAGTAGGATCAGATGATTGCTCTAAACGATCCAAAACTTCCAAGAGCAGTAGGCCAAATAAAGAAACATAAATTGATTCCCATACATTGACAATTGTACGTGTAGACCATAGACTCCCACCGAATGCGCATGATGCATAAAGTAATAAAGCTGTTGGTACAGAATGATATTGTACAGAATGTAATATTTTTTGAATTTTAGTCTGCTTTGCTGAAACTTGATGATGATCAACACGTATGCAACAGCTTAATATAAAAAGATCGACTAAATATGAACCAAGTACAGTGACTAACCGGGAGGGAAACAAAATTCTATTTAACATATCAGATCCACTGAAGTCAGTTTCTTCAGCTAAAAAATAAATAAATTGAAATACTAGGGATATTTTCAAGATGATTAAAAATAATACACACAAACACCATCGTGTACTTTATAAGGGCATGATAACCATGTTTATGTACCGACTCAATCCTAAACACTAGCTAACTCTCATTTATTAAAAACTTGAACGAGCAACGAAACTTGACAGACAGCTGCTAGCCAATGTCAAGATATGAAACAGAGGCTAATCAAGAGTTACTAGTTTTTCAAGTCGATGTGTTATCAACTAAGATATATAATGATTATTAACCCGTTTACCAAGTGCAGATTTACGCACTGTAAGTCGAACGCTAAGTGTAAGGGTTAGTAGAACTACTAGTTGTCCTATCCGTAGGTGAAGGGGAGTTCGGACCTGGACGGAAATAGGACGCCTTAGCTACTGGGTCACACATGAATAATAGTAATAGCAATGAAAATAACTTTATGGTTTAAAAAACATGTAAAAAAGAATGTAGTACACAAATCAACTTGATTTTAGCAGAAAGAACATAACCTCCGTACCTCTGATAGGTTGTTCTATTTAACCGTAGCCCCATATTTTTCAACAGTATACCTAGGACTCAGATAAAATGTGTGTAAAATGAGCGACAAATCTCAAATCACGGAAACATTACTTTTATAATCAACTCCACCATGAATCCATTTGGCAGCCTGAATCGGGATATGTACAAAAGGTGACATTCCAGCTACAGATCTAAGAGGACCTTTATCATCTAAGTGAAATTCCCATGTCCTTAATACGTCCAGATTATAAATGTCACCCGCTGCAACTTCAATCCCCTGAAAATACTCATCTGGATGTAAATAACCCGACTGCAAATCGAACACAAACAGAAACCGTAAAAATAAAAGCAGTATGTAGATGACCCAACCACGAAGATGGGAAGTCATGGATAGCTGGAAGTATAAAATAGAGAAGATAATTTGAATGAGTTTACGTTACAGTTTCCCAATAAGAAAATGAGATATTCAATAACAGAAAAAAACTACGGAAAATAGGTTATCGTTTATTGAACTTCAAAGACAAACATCAGCAGAGAAAAAAATGATCAAGACGTTGATTCTAATTTAGACAACTGAAATGAAACAGTACTGCGTGACTCGTTTGGAACAATTTCAGACTGAAAACAGCTCGTTTCATCATCCTTTTTTGTTTTTAGTTCCATGCACTGACTACTAGTTTGAACAATGAGAAGTGAATGCTTATTGGTTGGATGAGGGAGAATACGCCATGGACATTGTGCTTTTAAATTGGAATGCATTGACCTTGAGAAAAAAAGATTGAAAGAAATATTTAGAAAACTTTATGGACATTCAATATTTTGTATACCAAATCACAAACATTTTTAATTAACAACAATAGTTAAAAATAATACTTGGTTAGGTGCAACTATAACCATCTTTCACGAAAAATTGCTTCAAAGCATTAGTTATATTACTACTTATCCAAGAATAAAATCAAAAGGTTCGTCTAGATTTTCAAAGGGATTCATCGAGTTCGAAATGAAGATATAAAGATTTTCAGTTTGAAACGAGAGGCATATAACTTGAATTCATTGTTTTGCTTGTCACTAAGTCATGTAATCACGTTTCCACTTTGACATTCTGTAGACAAACAAAAGACAAAGAGCTTCCATCAGACTTATTTCACAATCTAATTATTTAATTACTGCATTCGAATTTACAATGTAACTTACTATCATCACATTAGTGTACTCGGCTTTGAGCTTCACTTTGTGAGCCAATGATACTATTTCACTAACCAAATTCAGCGTCCAACCAGATAAATCATAAACAAATTTAAGGTCAAGAATCAGCTCAAGAGGGAAGACAATCAAGACAAATGGGCTGATAATGGGAAGACCAGTGTTAACAATAGCTAATCAAACTCATGACCAACAGAATAAGCTGCTAGTCACTTGTGGGGAAATTCTCATAGCTTATTTCCACCTTGAGTTTGTGATTTTGCCTAGGAAGATAACAAAAGTTCCACAATTAAACCCCTCTGCTCACAGAAAGCAATTTCAACAAAATCATTCTACTAAACTAAAAACTTTCGCCACCTCAAAATGTTAAGATAAGCAGTGTGTAAAGCAGCTCGTTACAAATTACTTAGAAAATTTTGACAAAAAGTGTAAGACAATATAAATAAGCAGGTATCATTACCAAGGTTTGATTTGATAATTTCGAATAAATTGAGCATTAGGTAGATTGTTATAAATAAGCAGTTTGAATACAATTACCTCAAAACAATTACTGGTGAATACAAACTACCATTGAGTGAAGATATGGATGGGACCAATATATTCAATTTTCACATAATACTTTCATTACGAAGTCAGCCGGTGCATTTATGTTCAAAGTTGCATATTTAGCCATTTTTGTTGGCTGCAGATTAATAATTACTAGTTTTGATCCAAGATTCTTTGAACTCTCAATTTTATAATCATTTTGAATGAAAGGACAATTGTTGGTACTTCTGTTATTGACAGTCTTACAAACATTTGTAAGAGGAAGACCGGCAGCAGGGAACATTTGTAGTGATGAGCCAATACATATATGAAGATCTGCTTTTCTGGAAACGAAAAAAGATATGACATAAACTTCGAAAAATACTCTTAAAATCATAGTCTCAACTTTAAAATTTTAGGACTAACTTTGAATGTTCTATTGCAAGATTATAATCTAAGAGTGGTAGATCATCTTCCCAGTCAAGAATAGTATCACGAAGCTTTCCTCTGTTGTTAATGTTACACAAATATATGTTAGCATACCTGCAACACCGTTTATTAGGTTTCAAATAGGTGCATACAACTGATGACTGCCGTAAACCCACTGATCCTGAAGGTGTTGATCGAGCGTATAAAGTTCCACAAGCACTACATGATTCAAGAAACATATCACCATGAAGAATAGCCAAACGGTCTCTTGGAAAGCCAGATCTCAAGTGCAACCCATCGATATTTTGAGTCACTAAGAATTTGACAACATCTGGGAACGTAAGAAAGATTTCAAAAAATCCAAAGTACCATGTTTTTCCAATTCAACAAGAGCTCGATGTGCTAGTGAAGGAATCACTTTTTCAAAAGGTATAGAAAGTTTAGGCTTCTTTCCAACTTTCTCCAACGTCCAGACACCTACAACGAATAACTATTGTAAAGTTTAAACCTACCACCAGGACCTCGAAAGTCCGGTATACCCACTGATGTGCTAATACCAGCCCCAGTATGCACAACTATGTAGGTGGATCGACGTACCAAATTAACAAGTTCAGTGAGTTTAAAATTTAGTTGGGAATCGTCATCGAGAACTTCAGGTAGACCACAAACTCCTTTGTTGGGATAGTAGGACAGCTTAGATGCATAATCAACTGACATTTATCTTGACTTAGTGCGCACAGTACTGGGAAAACATATCATTATATTATCTCAGATCAGAATTGACGATCACAAATTCGCAATCCAGCGAAGGATTTTAACTTTATACCCCAGGCTAAAAGAAAATTTATTTATTTATTTGAACACATAAATACTGGCACAAGGGGGCACCAGTTACATATGCGCCACCCAAATCCCATTTGATATGTGTGAGAGCTGTGATACTGCCCGGGTGTCCAAACCGAAGCAGGCGGTTTTCTTAGGGGGCCACACCCGGAGCCTTCGGCCTCAAGGTCTGATCCACAAGGTAGTAGAGCATCGTAAGGAGATGCAGTCCCATGGTAGCCGGTGACCAACGATTGGTTCATACGCCATTTGTTCCTTCAGGATACTGGAGCTCATGTGCACTAGTGGTTTGGAATTAGGGTTTTTCAACTCTCCTAGATGGACTCTCCGTGTCCACCAACCTGGTTAAAACGCCGGACATTCACTTTTCGTCCTCTCAATTTAGTAAACACCCCCGCCACGAGAAGGCAGTGAGTATGACTTCCCTGGCAGAGGCTATATACGCGTGGCCGTGTGGGGGCATTTCGAGAGAGAGAGAGAGCGGACTCTACCCACTCTCGGTCGTACCAGGGCATTTGGGGGCAAAGGTTGAGAAAATACCATCACATCAACTTTGAAAAACATTTAGCACAGAGGAACTAGTTTGCAACTTACAATTGGAAGTAATATCGGAATCTATTTAGAGGTTTAAATTATGTAGAAACTAGAACATCAATTTAAACCCACATTGATGGTGGATCATAAAAACAAGAAGGAAGATAAACCAAGACGAAATGGACGAAAGACATAATCAAGGAAGGACAAATAAATATGGGGTAAAGTGAAAGCGCATCATTTAGCTATCTAACCGATAGTCGAGGGAAAATCCTCACTAGGCATAGTATTTTTCACGTATGAAAAGATTTTTCACTTATTGTAGTCTTTGGTGTACGGTATTTGATCCCCAATAAAATTTAATCACAAAACTGTGAATCCAATCTAAAATCTGTTCTATTTTGCTTTCCGAGACATGTAAATCTAGTGTACTGAACATATAAGTATACAGTCTGAAAGTGTCTTAGGATTTGGTGAAGCTCAATTCATATGATAAAAAAACAGACGCAAATGGACGTAGACCTGAGAAAGAATTAATATTCATTACCAAGTAATTGCATATGAGCTACCCTCGAAGTGTGAAGGCTAATGGAACCACCTGGTTGTCCAAACGGAAGTAGATTAAATGAGGTTCGAATGACTGGAAGTCGAACGCCCTAACTATTGAATCAACACCCCTTAAAAAGGCTGTTCCTTTTCTTACAGGTATTGAGTCATTTTCCTGAGCATAATAATCATGGAAACTAATTCACGGCTAGTCCAAGTCTCCTGACTTCGGGGAAATTCTGGGGCTTTCTCTAAGACCAAGTGAAAATGAGTACCTACCCCAAAGTCTGGGGATATTTCGAGGTAAAATCCCATATATATATATGGTTCATCGTATGAACCTTTGGGGTTTTCCAACATTTTCCAATATGGCTTTCCTAAAACGCAAAAAATTTCCCCCACAACCGGGGGATTGTGGTATCGCATAATGTAATAAAAACTCAGGTATCCAACAGAAATTACTGTAGAAGCTCAAAGGAACACTGACGAATCTTGAAATGAAGTGAAACAGTATTGTTTTGACGAGAACGTGCTACTGACTGTACTATATAAATGAAATTATATAAATCTGAATGGGCATATATCCGCTTAAAATAATTTCATTAAGTTAAAATAACCCCCTTCATAAAAAAGACCTTATGAATCATACTTTTAAGGTGGCGCTCAGTTTTAGGACGTTCAGTGTCGGATACGAGGGCAATTTAAAAAGGACATATAGAAGCAGGAACAATGAACTGGTACGCGACTTACTTCGAAATACAACAATTATTGGATTCTCATATTCTTGACACTGATCATTAGACTAAAACCATTCATATCTCTCGCAGTGGAAGGTTTCTGAGGTTTACCACAAGTTTTGTATTACGAACAATATCAAACCCCACCAATAAGGCCAGACTCTATTATGCATCTTATACATTTTTGAAAAACAATTGACTGGATTCATCTAAACCCTAAAGCATACAAGACTATATTCGGTAGGTACATCTCCCTAGGCTGTCCAATTGTAGGTGTGATTAAGAAAAACAAACTTCGCACTACATGCATAGATTTTGAAATGAATATGCGACTTCTCTCAAACCTATAAGAGTGAACTGTTTCTGCGCTACCGTGAACAAATTTATGATAGCTTCACTATTACCAACTAGTCCTCTGTGATCTGTATCTGTAGCGATGAATCCTAAAGTAAATTGCTTTATAAACACCCTCAGCAATGTTGAAAAAAAGCAAAAACAAAGATTCTAGCAAAGTCGCATGAATTCATTTTGTTTCGTAGGTTCTCGTCAGCTGCTTAAAGGCTGTGATATTTAAAATCATTTTAAATCACTTGCATGAAAGGTTTGGTTGGAAGTTATGTTGAAGACATATTCGTACAGTATATATATATATATATATATATATATATATATATATAGCTTCCGACCAAAACTCTCATACAAGTAACTTGAACCAATGTAATTACGACTTTGAAAATCCCAGGTTTTAAGCAGCTGACGAGAACTTATGAAATAAAATGAATTCATGCCATTCTGCTAGAACCTTTGTCCTTGCCCCTTTCGAAACGATAGAGGGACAATGTGTATGAAAAGACCTTCAGCAATTATCGGTTTTGTCCTGGTTTGTCCTCAAAGTATTACTCATAAAACAATACCCTATTTTTTCGTATCTAAAATACTCACTGGTGAACCTTTTGCTCGGCACGTTTGAGAACGATCTTCGGGTTCGTTTCTTATTTTAATTTCTGTATGTTATGCGTGTTGATCTGATTTTTCGTACTCTCGACCTCTTATACGTATGTCCGAGCTTATCAATACCAAGAAACCCAAAAAGTAAGTTAACTCAAAAAACTCTAGATATCTTAATCATTTCTAAGAAATGACAGTCCCCTTGTACACCACTACAAGTTTTAATCATTTTTTACATACATTACGTGCTCTCATAATCTCCTCATGTCTCCAAGCGCTAGACATTTTCTTGTTGGTGTCACACGTCTTGGACAGATATTGTATTTGACACATCCTTTAATATAAACGCTCAGAGATTACAATCTATTTTGCATCGCATTGGAGCAATTCATTGGACTGGTGGGTATTAATTCAAGTAATGGAGTGTCTCAGGGTTCAATGGATCGGTTTAAAGTTCGGTGTATGATGAGGGAAGTTGTCAAAATATAAATCAGATTCAGATTTGTGTATTAAGGACAGAAGCCCTACGGCCTGTGTTATTCCTTTTCTAATATGCTTCTGTCAGTGTCCAGTCTTCTCATAAACTAGTCAATTGAAGGTGCGGACATCACTGCTTGGGGGGGCAGGTTCCAAGTATTGATGACTCGGTGGGAAACCTGTATGCCACGGGTATTTTGTTCGTTCTTAGCTTTTCGACTCGCCTGCTATGTCTCCTGAAATGTCCCGATCTATTGGGAAGAAAAAGAGAGAATAAGTTAGGTCCAAAATCATTTCTGAGTATTCTAAACATCGAAATTAGATTTCTCCTTAGTCTAAGATAAGACAGAGTAAACAGATCCAGCTTTTCAAGCCTCTCTTCGTATGATAAACCCCGGAGTTCTGGAATTGTACAGGTAGCTGCCCTCTGTACTTTTTCTAGAATTTCCGAGTCACTTTTTAAACAAGGGCTTGCAGCCTGAATACAGTTCTCAAGCTTAGTTCTTACTAAAGTTGTGTATACTGTGGTGAACATGGTAGTATATAACTTAGTGAATGTCCGTTTTAAAGCTCAGAGGGTTCTAAACCACGTAGCTGAGACTTCATGGCAATGGGCCATCGTCTTAAGATCATGACTCACCGTCACCCCTAGATCAGGATGGGACCAGACCACGGGTAGTGGCGCTTCCCCTATGCCGTACCTATTAACCTTTGTATCCTCAAAGTGCATGTAGACACACTTTAGACCAGTTAACCGTATTATTTAAGTCTGCCTGAAATGCGCATGAGTCTGAGTCTCCAGTTATTATTATTCACAAACATCTTATGGGTACATAATTGTTGTGAAGAAAACATTTCGGGTTTCTTCAAAAAAATGCAATAAGACACAATTTTCAACAATGTTAGCATTATATTTGCCATATTTAAAAAATAGTAGTAATAATAGAATAATACTAAATCAGGTCTGTGTAATTGAGAAGAATATTGAATTGAGTTTAAAGAAGGAAATGGAGAAAATAAGGGAATAGTAATAAAGGAGACGTGAAATACGCAAATAGTTTAATAGGCGTGTTTATTAACGCAGAACAACAATAAACGACCATGTATATATCGTCAAATTAGTAAAAAAAATAATTAGGAAAAAATAACTTATTATCGCAGTAAGATATGACGCTAGAATAAATGTTTGTGCAGTTATAGTTTAAGTGATGCTATGAAAGTTACAATTAAATGAAAAGGATAATAAAATATCAATATGTATGAGTCATATATGCATAGTGAAGATAAAACGGGTCTGAGAATTTAATTTAAGTGTAACACAAGTTATTGTTTTAATTACAAACTTCGTAATCTTAAGAATAATATTTATTTAGAGGGAAAGGAAAGAGAAAAGAAGTGAACACTTAGTGAAAAGTTTTGATCCATGATAAGAATAATAATTGTGTAATGAATATCAACCTCAGAAGGAAACCAGCAATTGAAAAAATAAAATAAAAATCCGTTGAAGCACTCGGATGAATACATTTAGATTTATGTAATAGTATACAGAGTGAAACCGGATATTAGTATAAATATTTGTGCAATAATAATTAAGATTGATGCTATGAAAGTCAAAATTGATTTCAAAGGACA